CTAGCAACACTGTCTGGACAGTGCGTTAAATAACCGTCTCACACTAGGACTTTTTATGATCATTTTTGGGTGGACTGAGCATATTTTCTAAACATGGGGTAAAACTCTGAAGAAGGGTGATGATCCCCGATCTTCAAAAAACACAGATCTGAGCATTGCTGTAAGAAGAGTGCCATGCTGCTTTCCTACAACCAGGGAAGAAGCCATCAACACATATCTTACTTCAGTATAAACTGGGTGTGTGGTTTAAAAGTTATTTGATTTGATTCAGTGCTTGGCGAGCTAATTTAAGAAGTTCATGTTTTTTCCTTTTTATTTCAATTAAATTTTCTAGGTCACACTTTAATTAGTAAGTAATTATTAGGCTAAACTGTACAACCTTTAAATGCTCTGCACACCCAAAGATGTTTTATTTTATCTGGACTGACTGCACCTCTTTCTAGATTAAAGTCAGATAATGCAGGAAATTATGTGAGTCACTAAACTCCACGTACTAATGAATAATAAAGTTGTGAGCTGCAAACTGGCATGTCATAGGCTTTCTGTGAAAGATTAATTCAGATAAAGAAAGCAGTATATTTAGTACCTGTTGGCTTGTTTGGTGAGCTCTAGCTCAGCCTCCACTCTCTTTATATCAGCAGTCAGGTTGGCTTTGTCCAGAGCCAGACTCCTGTTCTCCTCCTGCAGACTTGACAATCTGAGAAGCAATTCGTCCATCTCACTCTTATTCCTACTCTCCTGCTGCTCCAACTGCCTAAGAACCAAGAGCAGATTGTACAGCACATTATAAGAAAACATCAGGTACTTGTTGAGCTCTTTTTACAAAGTGGATCCCATCCTATAAAATGTACCAGCCTAAAAAAGATTTGTCTTGAGTTTTAATAATCCTGCTAACTTGCATCCTTATGCTACTTATTTTGATTAAGTAATTAAAGCTATGATTCAGCTCTATCACATTAATTTATTCATCACATCCCAGTGATCCCCTCTGTAAATAAAATTGCAATGCCTCAGGTGGTACTCTTTATGGCTCTTCTTCGTGTCTTGTTCTTGTTTTGCTAAAAAGATGATTAGAAGCCCTGGTATTTCGAAAATATGAGAGAATATGAGAACTGTACCACCTTTCCTAACAAACAGCAAGCGAGTATACGTGTCACTAATATAAACTGTTTCATGTTCAGTTCTTCTTTTTCTTGTTCACATTTCACAAAAAAAAGAAAACTATGGTATCCTAGTTCAGGAGCAGAACTGTTTTTAATACAGATTAATTCATCTTACAGAAAAAGAAATATTTAACAAAATGAGACATTGTAGGTACCGTCTGAGTTTCCCAGCAATGTTGCAGTGTTCATCCCAGGTGATGGCATCCTTCAGGCGTCCCTGCAGAACTTGTATCTCCCTTGTACTTTTCAGCACCTCCCTCCTGCTCTCTTCCAAGTCCTCCTCCAAACGCTGCTTTTCCACCTCTAGCAACATCAGCTGCTTAGACACCTTGGAAACTACAGAGAGAGTCAACAGTCAAAATAGAAAAAACAGAGAAAAGGATGCAAGGACACAGTGAAAGAATATTATGCTTAAGTTCCCTTTTGGTTTGGATTTCAAGATGTCCTCTTTATGTAGTTTTTCCCCCTATGGTCCTATTTTTGTGGCAGAACAGCGCAGGCAGCACCATTGGTGCACCGGTGGGAGAAGAGGCGATAACAGGAGAGAGGTTCGTTCAAAACACGTGTTCTACATGTGTGCTTAGAATACCGGTATACGTCTCAGAACCACATCTGTTCACTCACTCAGCTGCCGCTTACAGTATGTTATCCACAGCTGCTGTACACAGTATGAAAAGCATCAATATTAAAGAGGTCATATTATGCTTTTTCCCTCTCCTTTATTGAGTTATATACCTTTTTTTGTGCATGTAATAGGTTTGCAAAGTGAAAAAGCCCAAAGTCCAGCCCAAAGGGAGTTCCCATCTCCCACAGAAAACTCTGCTACATATACAGCTGAACCGAAGCCGTGTTTACCAGCTTCTCACAACCCGCCCTACTTTGATTCTGATTGGCTAGTAGTCCATATCTAGGAACTGTGCATGTGCTACTTCCAACAAAGATCATGTAGAGGCAAGATGTATCACTCCATAGCTAAAACAAAGCCTTCACCACACAGGGTGAAAAGAGGAGCCGCAGCAATGTGCAGTATGACAAAAAACTGTGTTTTTTGAAAATGAAACCATGTAAACATGTTCTGGTACAACCCCTAAATAAGATTATGAACCTGAAAATGAGCACAATATGACCACTTTAAATGCAGTAGAATTATGAGTGAAATGGTGTCAGATTGATGCAATCATATAAACTTTTCACCAAACTATTCTTTTTTCTCTGCTTGTAACATCATTGTAATAATGAACTGCTAATAATGAAAAACCACACAATGTCTCTTTGACTGCAGATTTGCGGTGTTCTGCACCATCAAGACAACAACATAATTTCCTGGAGAAGCAGACTCTTCATTTGCTGAGCTATTGTTGTCATGGGTCATTGTGATTGGCACAGCTGTTTCAGAGCAATGAGACCATTGGTGTGACTGCCTGAGAGTGTATTTATTAATCATGATTCACCACACCCTCTTATCTATACTCACCTTCGCCCAGCCCATTTGCACTTTGCGTTGTTGCGCATCCATAAACCAAAATAGTAGATGTCTTTGGAGATGCCCACACAGCCCACTTTACCCAAGACCTACCACTTTGCCTTTGTTGTTGTACTTGTGGTACTTGTGCAATTAAAAACAGGCCATTAGTCTTCAGAATGTACCTTCAGAATGGTGTCTGCTGTGACTGGCCTTGGCTTTAACATGCTGAGCCTCAAGCTGATCAATCAGAACCTGGTTCTCCTGCAAAACCAGTAAGGCCTGCTGTTGTAGTTGATGACTGTAGACAGAAAGAAGAAAGACAGAGAGAGAGATTACAGCTGGTAAATATGATTAAAGCATAAATGAAACACATTTTACTTTAAAAGCTAGGGTCTAAATGTACATGTAAATCTGATATATTGTGTGTCAGATCTGTGTGTATATATATATAGATAGATATATAGATAGATATAGATATACACATACACACACACACACATATATGCAGGCTGACTGCAGTAACTCTGGCCACCTGTTCCCATTGCCCTGTAGAGTATTTGTAACTCCTCATTATCATTCTTCAGAGAGCTGCTGCTGGGCTGAGGTTACAGACCTCCCTCCTAACTGATTCCTCTGTTTCTCTCCACAGGCTCCACCTTTGGTTTACTTCTTGGAAATGTTGCTTTAGTTGTATTTACCTTGTTTCTTGCACATTACAACACCCTCACACACATCTGTCCATGCATCCATCATCCTCCCCTGACACTACTGAAACCACTGACGCTCATACTCCATACTTTAACACTATTGTAGTTTAAATAAAAATAGTAACTGTAAATGTAAAATACATTAAACATCAAGAAACACAAATATCTCAAACTGCTGCTGTTTCACATAAAAGTGAGTGCAAGTATCTGACTTTTCAGAGCTACTTACACTGAGTAGATACTGTAAATCTGAAGGTATTAGCACAGTAGTAATGGGGTAGATGTAGAGCACAGAAAAAAATGTAAAGGTTTTACCAATCTAAAGTGGTGACAGACAAGTAAGTGCTAACAGTGCTGAACCAGTACACACACAGAGAGTATATTTCTTCTTACCAGTCCTTCTGGCTGACCCCTCCAATCTTAGCAATTTCATCACGGAGACTCTCATTTTCTTTGATCACCTCCTCTACATGAACACGCAATCTCTTCACCTCCTCCTGTGGCAAGCAGAAAAGACACACAAAGACCTCTGATTTCAATGATGCAAGATAAGAAGATTTAAATTGGAGACAGCAAAACATCAACAAATACAAATGTTCTGCCCTACTGTTACCCCTCTGACATGGAAAGATCTACCTAGCGTGGGGTCGGCAACCTTTACTATGTAAAGAGCCACTTTTGGCCAGAAAGAAAACAAAAATACCTGTTTGGAGCTGCATTTCTTTTTTTAGCCCTTTACATGCAGGTACCACAGCCTAGTAGTAAATTAGGATATGAACATTACTAAAAGGTCTAAATGAACATTCATTCATATGTTTTACTACAAGGTGGCTGCAGTAGGCCTATAGGCTATTTATGATTATTTGGCGACTTATGTAACTTTGTAAGTATACAAGTACCGGATTTTAAACCCATAGCTATCTTAGGAGAAGACACCGCTGTTGTGAATTATTTTGGAGTATTATAGCCTAAATTGTTATCATTAATTACTAGAGCAATGGTGGTTTACATTTTCATCTTTTAAAGTGTTATTTTATAGTGTAAAGTTAGGATCACAGTGTTAAAACTCTATAGCTCTGAGTGTATGTGCTCCTTTCTGTATCTAACTGCCCAGGCTCAGCAGTAGCAAGTTCGTGTGCTTTGGGAGAAAAGGGAGGGAGCACAGTAAGGCAGCATCAAAAACACAAAGGAAAATATAGAAGCCGATTTTGTGCAAATTGTATTACAAAACATACATCAATATAGTCCATCACAGTAAGAATGTCCTGTTTCTAGCACGGAGCAAAAACACCAGTTTATTCCATAAAAGTCAGGTTATGGAAGAAATGGCATGATCAAGCGGAGTGCATGCAAAGGACACAGAGAGGACGAGCAGGCAGTCAGGGACTTTCCCAGATTCAGGTGCAGTAGGAAAGAGAGCCAAGAGATGATGTGAAGCCAACAAACAGTCCAAAAGGAGGTGAAAGTCAGTCGTTACATGGTTTTCATGTCGACTCGGGTCTCTATTCTGGTAACAGAATGGGGCTCTATTTTGCACCGATCTCTGACACACTCCGGTGGAACTTTTGTATTCTAATTGGTGTCTGTTTTTGTTGATAATAAAAAGTTCAAGCTTTCTTATCTGGCCCAAGTCTTGAATTTTTACACGACATTAGCGCTATTGAGTTTAGTGCCAGGTGTAGCATGATGACGCATATTTTGGTTGACGAAGGGTTTTGTATTTGATTATATATGCTACATACTTTTACAGTTGAATAATTCAAGGATGATGTTAGGCCTATAACAATGATAGACAAATGTAAATATATATATATTTTTGACAAAGTCGGGGAGCCACTAGAGAGGGGCTTAAGAGTAATGATGTTGCTCGGGAGCCGCAGGTTGCAGACCTCTACACTGGCGAGACAAAATTCTTGACAGCAACTACAGCTGGGAGCAGATGTTCTCTATGATCCTGTACCATGAACCGTGCTTAGTGGGTTAGTCAGCTATCTTTGGGCTGAACTAAGTTTTTCAGTATCACAAAGCTGGCTCACCATGGTAACCTATGCTGCATGGCTAACCTGCGCCGCAGCACGTCAACTTCAGGGGATCAAATGAAAATGTCAACTGCCCTCCTACTGTCCAAACAGCTGACTGGAAAAAAGACCCGTTGACGTTGTGGATTTGTTACCTCTCCCATCAATGTGGAACTGGATTGCACCATGCACAGACACCAAGTGATGCCAGTGATGAGGCAAGTCTTATCCGGCAACTTAATTGTGAAGCATGTGAAGTTCTTTTTTCCTGTAGACTGTCACTTAATGCTTGATGCTTATTTGTCTGATATCAGCACAAGAAGATGCAAATCCCTCTGGTCCATTAAATCACACCTGAGTGTTGGTGTGGTGAGGACAAGTAGAGTTTGTCTGACATTTTGGTTCCTAAACCTTTGATATGCTATGCGGGCCTGCATGGCTCATCATGCAATGATCCAAAATGGCAGGCAAGTCTGCCATCTTCCTCGCTCTCCCCCTCCCATAATGATTCATCTTTATTATTAATTTCAGTAATATTCAGAACTTTGTCAGTATTTGCTGACAACCAAACCTGCCCCTACCAGATCCCAACTCAGCTTTACAGCATATACACTAACATATCGCCAAAAACAATGCTTATGCACACAAGCTTTACTCCACAGGGGACCCACACTTTGAGCTATTCTCCACCACAAAAACAGCAAATTCATAACGGTTAGAAAAAAATATTTATAGGTTTTTGGTTTTGCTATGACTGTCTATATGCCTGCATGTACCACCAAGTGTACAGCAGGTTTTGATCCCATGCATTGTATATATCCAAAGCAGCACATTACCAGTTTATGTCACTGACACACATGCATTCAACCTCTCACACACACACTTTACCTCAGTAGTTTGCAGAAGTGCATCTTTCTCATTCATCCTGTCTTCATAGGCCAGCAGCAGAGGAGATAAATACTTCATGTCCAGCTACAAAAAAGTATAAAGAGATACCAAATTAGCTACAACATTGAATACTCTATTCCCATATATTGTATCTCACAATTTCGTTCTAACTTGGCGGCGCTATTAGCTGACTGAGTCCAGAATGAACACCAGAACCAGGCTCAGCTGCCTCCTCGTGTACACGGCTGGACTGGGACCAAAGACGATGTATGCCAGTTTGACGACAGGGAATAGAGCATCGAGGTGATTATATATATATATATATATATATATATATATATATATATATATATATATATATATATATATAAAAAATGCCTAAAATAACATACCCAAGATAAATCAGCAATAACTCCTCATCCATTAGGCTTAGATGCATAATTCTGGGTCAGAAGCTAAGGAATATGGATCAACAATGAATGAACCTATTTATTTTTTTCTATTAAAGAGTAAATGCAGATGAAATAAAGGAAAATATGACATTTTCATCCTGGCCTGGTAAAATCTATATTAAGTATATATATATATAAAATCTATATTTTAATAGTAATATCACCATTAAAATAATCATCCAGCTCATTATAATGCAACTGAATATCTTCTAATAAATTTAGAATACAACTGTAACTGTAAATTTGATGAAAAGAAACTAATATACAACAGTTATTTCACAATTTTTCAAAAATATACCAGGCAAATGTCCATGTTTTGGCCATATTTACTGTTTATATGTACACTATTTCTCTCCATACAACCACGAACCCAACCATGAACCCTACAACAGTATCCTCAGGTCCTCTGGTAGTGGCCCTTTAATGATCCCTGAAGTATGGACAAAAACTCAAGTTGAGATGTCCTTTTATTATTACTACTGAGATATATTGTAGCTCTGTGACATCAGTGGAGTTCTACTTTTAATCATCCCAAGAGTTCTCCCGTAGCAAAGAATTACATCACTAAAGTCCCACTGTAGATCATAATGGAATCTGTAGCGAGTAGCATGTAGCTGCAGTACCGGAGGCCGCAGTTTCAGGACCCTTGTTTACTTTGATACTGCCAGCTAGCTATGTTACTCTTTACAGCCCCCCGAAGCCCTTACCACAACCACCACCGAGTGTGTGCCTAAACCTAAGTTATTGATTATATGCATGTCGACCGGTCAACCCTACAGCTGCGCACATCGGCCGTGCTAGCAGACAAGGTTAACCTCCTTCGTGTCGTTGTGTATTACCACCACCACTCCACTAGATGGCACTGTCGCAAAAGAACTAGGGTCCTAGAACAGCAGTCCCAGGATTGTGGGGGTCCTGCAGCTTCATACTATTGTCTGTAGCGCCTAATGACATCACTTAAGTTACTATAGCTCTCACTGACATCCCTAGTATTCTACTGTTGTTCACAATTACAGTTTTCTATTGTAGCTCACAATGACATCAATGACATGTATACTTTAGCTTACGATGACATGACCACCTGACCTATTACATTTTTGTTACATATTTTGTTGCATATTTATAAGATCACTGTTAGTTAGTGCATGTTAATGATGAATTCTCCACACATGCCAAAGTTAGAGTTCCACAAGGTTCAGTGCTTGGACCAATCACCTTATACATGTGCATCTCAGAAAATTAGAATATTGTGGAAAAGTTCCTTTTTTCCGCAATTTAATTCAAAAAGTGAAACTTTTTAATTTAAGACACTTAAAGTGAAATATTTCAGGCCTTTTTTTTGTTTTAGTCTTGATGATTAAGGCTTACAGTTCATGGAAATTAAAAATCCATATCTCAAAATATTAAAACATTAGAATAAAGAATGCCAGATTTAACCAATCAGTTAGTCACAGTGGAAGGTAAATCTGAACCATATCAGGTGCATATGGGCTATATTTTATTGATATATTCAGCAGGTGTCCAGTCATTGTGGACAGATAGTGAACAACCTGGCATTCTGATTTGAGAGATAAGCTAACCTAATAAGATAACCTGGGTCCATGCTTACAAACTGTCAGACTGCTTGTGTATCAACAGACTGAGCACATATGATTTTACATGTAAAATCCATTTCATGAGATAGAGAAAGGACCAGCCACATTCATTTGCTGACAAACAGTTTAGTTATCATTCAGCTGAATTCAAAAATGACTTAAACTAGGCAGCCATGTTTAACAGGCTATTAACTAGCCATAAGGTTAGACTGTTGGAATAGTCTGTACTGTTCTGCAATATCATTTCATGTCCTCTACAACTATATTTGGATACTGACCAGCCAGGGAGGAGGAGATCCTGTCTTTGGTAAGCCACTGATTCTGGAACTCTGGGTAAGAAATAGAAAGCAAATAAAGTTAGTCATCATACCATCTCAGCCATAGTTAATATGGTCCACAAAGTAAATATATATTGATAACATGTTGATAGAACCACAGGATTCAATTCTAGTATAGTAAGTATGACTACACCCGTTGTGCAATTTAGATCACAGATGAAGATGATGTTTTATATTTTGCTGCTTCTTGTGTGCTTGTGCAATTTCACAGGGAAGCTAAATTTTAACAGCAAAGCACAAATGGGGAATAAAGGGTAAATGTCAATATTTATGTGATCTATGGAATGAGCCATAGTTATATTCTAGCCTGGCTAATTAAACCGATTTCAGACTTATCCTATAATTAATTACTGCATTATTCTACTATAAACTACCCCTTAATCTTATCCTTCATTCCTTCCATTCATGAGCCACAGTTCAGCTGTCAGTAATGAGGCTAGCGGCTACAGAGGACCTAAACTTGTAGCGATGAGAGCAGGAGATGTCTTGGTGTGAAGACATAGCATGAGGTAGCTATGATTAAAACCACAGACCAGCTTTCTTCTGTAGTGTAAAACACAACAACCCAGACTGGACAGACAGCCACAGGCAGGAACATGTAAAAAAATCAAATGGAAAGACAGACTTACTCAGCTGGGTTCTGCTTCAAAGGCAGATTTCTATCTTGGTTATGAAGAAATGTTTTTTTCAGTGCTAAAGCTGTGACAATAAAATGATGTACTGGTAATAGATTCTGTACAAAAGCTGATTAAATTAGACTAAGGGGGGTGATAAAAGGATAACAGTTTAGAAAAAAACAGACTGAAACTTCACCTGTTGGTGAACAGAGCAGAGGAAGAGGGTACTATAGAACACACACACCTGTTTTCATTTATTCTGGCAACTTATGATGGAGTAAGACAAGCTGATTGATAACAGAAAGGTTCCTGCTGTCAGGGAATTGAGAGCATAATATAATAATAATAATCAACGTTCTTTGCAATAAAGAGATTATATGCACCAAGTGCTTCTCAAGAAAATAGACAAAGAATGCCATAATTAATTTCAAAAAGTGTAAAATGATACTTGATAATAAAAAAAATAATGTTAAAAATTAGGAAAGTCATAGCTAGTTAGAGGTTACAGTGAAGAGATAAATTTTTAGCTTTCTTTTCAACTTATTTAGCATCTTGCTTCCCTGACATCTATAGGTAGTGTGCAGTATTTACAGTGAGAATAGTAACAGACCACGGGAGCTCCCTTGTGCAAACCCAAAACAGATCTCATGTTTCTCAGACACATCATCCCAAAGATTGACGTAAAACTTTCCTTTGTTTGTATGCTTTGAACCAGTTTAACACACAGTCAGGAAGACCAACCAACTTTTCAAGACAACTGATTAGGATATAACGGTCAGTCATATCAAACGCTGTGCTTAGGTCTAAGGGGACAAAAATTTTCATCAGAGTTTAGTCTGAGGGTGCTGATTATTTTAGTAAGAGCAGTGTCAGTGCTGTGGTATGCTCTAAAGCCTGATTGAAAGTCCTCCAGGATATTATATTCTTTAACAAAGGAGTTTATTTTTACAGAAACTCTTCAGGTATCTTACTAATGAATGGAAGGTTGGATATCGGCCTATAGCTGGTCAGTGCATTACCTTCTATGTTGGCTTTCTTTAGTAAGGTACAACAGCTGTTTTGAAGGCATATGTGTTTATAATCTTTCTAGCATGACATGAAACAATGTCGAGCACGCTTTTAAAAATGCTGTAGGTACAGGGTCAATACATGAGGTGGAGTTACAGTCTTGCAAAGCTCAGTTAATGTAATACAGGTGAATTTTCCCTCTTTTGAAAAAGGGTTTGCTGAGGGCTTCTGTGACTAGCAGCACTGCACACACTAATTTAAGTTATTTTGTTAATGAAGAACAATGCAAGTTCTTCACAACTGATAACTGCAGACAGTGTCGAAGAGAAATTTGCTTCAGCTTTGTCATCTAGGAATATTTCTTTAACCAAAAATTCACTTTTAGTCTTTGAATTCCCTTAGTGTTAGCCTTTTTAAGGCTGGCTACATTACTCTTCTGACAAAATTCAATAAACATAAGAACTTCAGCAATATACAAGATGAGGTACTACTCAAAAAGCAGAGGTGATATCTTGTAGCTCTTCATACCTCCTGTTTGGACAATGGTCTGAAGCGGGTTTGATAGCGGCTGAGCTCCACATTCAGACGGTGAACTGTGAATTTGAGGGCGTCATTTTCATCCACCAGTTCCTGAGCATGTCGCCTCAAATTTTGTAGCTCTGCCTGTCTGCCTGTAAGCACAGGACATTTATAAATGTTTTTGAGACATTACATGATGTTCTTATTCAGATTACTATGAAATTTCAATAGAATTCATTAGAATAATTAATAGATCTCTAAAGATTACCATAAATCACAAACAAGAACAGGCAAATTCAAGGGCATAGTGGCCTTACAATATTCGTTTCAATACAATAGCCATATTCATTATTATAGTTTCAGGAGGAAGGAACAGCAGAGGACTGGTGTCTAAACTAAAAAAGATAGTATATGGCAGGATGGCCTAATGACGTCTTTCTTCAACATGGGTTTGGCTCTCCATGTGGTGTGCTGGTTGACCCTGAACCTATAATTAAGAGTACATAATCAATGCTTTACTAGCAGATACTGGCAGTAGAACTCCAGTATTTGTTCATGCTGCTTCTTTCTGCCCACCAGGGGGTCAGGGTCTCCAACCACCACGCCAACCTGCTACACATTTAAACTGCCAAATTTCCATCCTCCTTTCACCCCTGCACATGCATCTATCTGTTGTGACTCACTGCTTCCTTCCTTCCCTTCATCCCTTTTCCCCAGCCACTCCTTCTTTCACTCTATTGATTTTCTTTCTCTCTCCCCTAATTACTGTCTTTCTGACCATCTGTATATCTCCTGGCAATGGCTCCTCCACTCTACCTGCAGATGACTTCAGGTTTGAGGAGGCTTGGCTGTGACTGATCTCCTGCTCCAGCCGTTGCAGTCTCTCCTCCAGTAGCTTTTGTTGATCTACCATCCTGGTGTTCTTCTCTGGCAGGGCCCGCAGATCCTCCCTCTGCGCCTCACTGTACGCCTTGCTGGGCTCTGGAGACAGCTGGTGGGGGTGTTGTGAGTTTTTGGCTTTGTTGGGTTGGCTGGGGTGGTCGGTGGTTAGGATGGGTAGCACGGCTGAAATAGGGAATGTAAATACTTTTAGTGGCAGTACATGTACATATTCTAAATAGAATAAAAGGAAATGTACAGTATTCCTAAAAAGGTATCTCAGAAATACATTCTTGTTGTTATATATTAAATACATAATTTCTGGAACTTGGAAAATCTCTGGACTATATAAAATGACTAAAACTAACAACTGTATTAGAATACAGTGTTAGTAATAATGTAACCAGCATAGGGTATACCCGTGGATGTGTGTGGTATGGTGTTGGGTGTTTATTTTGTCACAGTAAAACAGAAGAAATAGACACAAATACAAAAACCCAAGCAGGAACACTAGCACTACAAGGGGAAGTGGAAGGGAGAAAGGAATAAGGAAAAGAGCAAGGTAGCATGTTGCAATAGTCCTTAATGGCCACCAATGCCTTTCTCATTTGAGATGAGAAATCTTAGCATGGAAGCTTATAGAAACAAAAACTCAGTGTCATGCAGAGCTCCCTAGAAATAACATCCAACAATATATATGTTTGTATTTTAAGGATCATGTTGCAATTCACCTTAAATGCTGCTGATGCCCTTCTCATTTGGGACTTTAAACTGCATGCTATGTAAATGCCCTCAAATGGACATAGAACATAATACACGCTTGCTACTGAATGCAACTTGCTTATACTAGAAGTTGTTCATGTATCTCAGAGTTTGGCAAAAAGATAGGCATGACAAAGGGTACAGTACTACAGATTCTCACTATAATTCCCATCAGAAAATACAGCACATATTTAGCCCAGAGAGGGCAGCATGTCCAACAGCAGTGTGCAGCAGTGAGCAGTATAATTGGTCAACAGTGGCTTATGGTAGGTAGAAACTAATCACACAGTACGTATTGGCTGATTGTTTAGCACGCACTACATGTTTATTTTGCCTGATCTAAAGCAAGCCTTGTTTTTTTACTGTTACTGTAAATCAAAAGATGGCTAATCCCGCTACCGCCCCTGGATTTACAGACTTGACAGATTGCACAAAAGGTGTGTTTACAGTTTAACTCTGCATTTACTGAGCAAGAAAGGGAGAAGCAAAGTGGACTGTCTAATTCAAGTTCAATATACAGAGAGGGGAACCACATAAATCAAGTTTTTCTTTATCATGTATTCACCAAAAGAAAAAATATTAATCAAAAAGACAAGCAAGACACACAGCTGTCTACTGTACGAATAACACCTACATGGCACATCTCTCAAACTTCCAGGGCTCTTCCTGAAAGAGGCTTTCTTCTTGGAAGAATCACCGCTGGTTTCAGGAGACTGGACAGTGGTTTCCTCAGTGAAATCTGGGAGATAAGAAAAATCGTGGCATCATTAAAGCAATAAAAATGCAGCAGTAGTACTTGGCCCTATGTGCTTTATTACATAACACAATTTTTCCATGAACTGCATATTATTCTGTTTAAATGACTTTCCCCATAGCTTGAATGTGTTACTTTACATCGTGATCAGCCTGTGTGTAGCACACAAAATTCAGTGATTAAGGTAGGAGCATTTTAGTCACGTAAAAAAAAATGTAATTTAGCACAGCCAAAAGCCTGCTCTGGTAATAACTATAATGAGGCTTTCAATTTAGCTCTGATGTAAGGCTATATTATGGCTGTTACAAAACTAAATGTTGGTTAAATAAGAGCTGTATCTTCTTCCTTAGCTAAGTCATTAGAGTCATTCTGAAATAAAGGTGCATGCGTCTCTTTGTTTTTTATATTACTCACCCTCTAAATAGAAATGTGTACATCTCTGTTAGACAGGTTTAATGGATGTTTACATCAAAAGTGTGTCATTACTGAGAGCTTCATAGCTTTCTTTTTTTGAATTTCAAATCACACTCCAATTTGGATGTGCACCAACATTACACCATACATTTGTTTGCTGCATGTTGTTGAGATGTTCATAGTACATTTGCTACATCAAGTTTCTTCTGTAAGTTGACAATTAATAATTATAAGCAACTACTTTATGATACTGATATTGCTGTCTATTTACTGACGCCTGACCTATGCGCCTGACACAACATTGTCTGTTGAAGTTAATGTTACCACCCCTTCATATCAGTGGTCACAAACACCAGGAATGCTACTAATGTAATATGTAAACTGAGTGGACCCTAAAAATTTAGAACAGTCAGACAGTATATTAGCTAATGACTAGTGGTATAACCTATATATGTTAATAAATATACAAATGGTGAAATGTTTTTATTTTAAAGGGTACTGGCTGTTTTGAGTACCGTATAAAATCTCTGGATCAGCGCTGAAAACTAACTAATAATATGAATGGAAACTCACAGTCAAGATCAGTAAATATTTAAAAAGTTATCTGTCAAATGTATACAAAAATCCAGGCTTTGGAGTAATTTCTTATCTATTGCAAGAAGGCTTGTTGGTAATCACTGAATTCTGGTCTCATTCAGATCACTGATTTGAATGAATTGTGGAGGGTACAATATGAAGGCAACTGCTAAATTTCACTACACTCATCCTTCATTTTGTCCTATTTATAGGTGGGTTATGTTGCCACTACGGACAGATTATGTGTTCATACACACGTGTGCTATCTGCCAATACCAGTGTCCACCCATCTCCCATTAGTGTGAAGTCAGTACCTGGAGAAGGCACTCTTTTGCTAGACATTTGAGTCGGCTGGGGTGTACTGCTCTGCAAGACAGACAGGCAAAACAAACACACAGGCAGTCAGAGAGATAAGTCTTTTCAAAAAGATTTCCAAAGCCCCGCTGCCTGGATCCCTTTTGTGCACTCCTATTTCAGATACCATTGCATTTATGGCCATTGTCAAAATGTGGACAATAAGATCTTGTCAGCGCCTTTATTGCTGCAAATCTTCAGAGACACATTGAAGCAATGTGAATGAGTCACAGCCGCGAGTTCAGTGTAGGGAAGACTGGCAGTTGAAACTGAAAATGTGGTAGGCTAAAGAATGACAACTGCTCTGTGACAAACTATAACCCGATTATTTCCAGATTTTTAAGTCTAATGGCTTAAGGCACAACTATCACGATAAGAAAAGAAACTATGTTCATATACACCATTGCCAGTTCATTAGGTACACCTATCTAAAATGAATGCAGTCTAATACAACAGTCCTGTAATAAAGCCTCCCTTCATGAAGATTATGTTTACATCTTGATGAAACTGTATAGACAGGTGTTGATTCAAGTGTATTGACATTTAAAAGGCTGCAGTTTGTGGTGCTGTTGAACTTGAATTTCACAAAATAATAGAAACAGCTGTTAGTTTTAGCTAAGTGTGCATAATAAACTGGCAAGTGAGTGCATTAAAAAATACCAAGGAGTGATTTTCTACTATCCTCACCCTGAATGATAAAGAGGGCAGCTGATGAATGTGTCTGTCTGTTTACGGTCCAATAGATATATGAGGGTCTAGTCTGATGTTACGGATTTGTAAGGGGGTACATCGTTCTGTTAAAATAAACTGCATAGACTACTATACTAGGTGCTCATCTTAGATAATGGTACAAGGAATAAAAAACATCATGCCCTATGCGTCTTTAACTAGTGACTGCCTGGACAACTGACAGGGAAAATAGAGCCCTTTGGGACAATTATAGGTTAGCAACCCAATGTAGCAGTATACAGTACAAAGACATGAATAGAACAATATCCCAAGAGCCAAAGAGAGCAGGGATACCGTTGTATGTCACAGTTAGTGACTATGTATCAGAGTCAGTAGTGGACAAGTCATTTTTCAATTCAACTTACAGGGTTAAAATAAATTATCGCCATCTGAATTGCAGAGGCAGAAAAATTATGTTATATGTTATGGGGAGAAGTGTCAGCAAATAAATTAATTACATGCACAAATACAGAAAACCTGTGATGGCACAGGAAAAAAATTATTGGAAAAACAAAAGGATATCTCACACTGCAAGCTAGTCCTTAAAAATGACTACTGAGCTGAATCAAAAACTACACAGATCCTCTCTCTACAGCACAAGACTCAACAGATATCCATTACCTTTATTCTGTGTACAACTGTGCCTCCCAGTGGACCAGACTGGTGTCACAATACCCACACTTAGCTTCAGAGATATCATAAACTGTATGTACCAAGTACAGAAAATATTTTAGACAGAATAGTTATCCTTCCTCAAAATAGACTTGAGTCATGTAAGGAAGAGCACAGGTGTAACTGATAACATTATCTCTGTCTCAGAAGGCCATTCTAGTGTGACCCCTGTTTCCATCCAGGGGGTCCCTGTGGACATTGTGGAGGATTACAAATACCTGGGAGTGCACATTAACAATAAACTGGACTGGGCCAAGAACACTCAAGCCCTCTACAGGAAGGGCCAGAGCTGACTCTATTTTCTGAGGAGCCTGAGGTCCCTCAACATCTGCAGGACAATGCTGAGGATGTTTTATGAGTCTGTGGTAGCCAGTGCTATCCTGTTTGCTGTTGCATGCTGGGGCAGCAGGTTGAGGGTAGCAGACTCTAACAGACTCAACAAACTGATCCACAAGGCCAGTGACGTTGTGGGGGTGGAGCTGGACTCTCTGTCGGTGGTGTCAGAGAGGAGGATGCTGTCCAAACTACATGTCATGTTGGACAATGTCTCCCACCCACTCCATGACGTGCTGCTCAAACAGAGGAGCACTTTCAGTGCAAGACTTGTCCCCCCAAAATGCACCACAGAACACCACAGGAAGTCATTCCTGCCTCTGGCCATCAATATAACTCCTTGCTCTGAGTGGGTGACACAAGGGCCCTTAATTAGTTATATTATAGTGGATATTATTACTTGTTCTGTGCAATATTATCTGTTTAATAATTAATGTGAAATATTCTCTGCTGCTGTTCATTCAGTATTACTGTTTACCAAAATAATTCTTTAATACCATAATGATTCTTTACCAATACCCACACTCCTTTATATTTTTCTTTATATCTTATATTTATACTCTCATATTTATATACTCTTTATTCTACCTACTTTAAATTTTTTATTCCTGATGCCTCGATAAGTGCACAACTGTGACAAAAGAATTTCCCCTGGGGATCAATAAAGTATTTCTGATTTCTGATAAACACAGGGCCCTGGAATTGGCTTACCTAAAATGCAAAGTGAACAACACATGTGCTCTTCCTGCTATGACATGTAAATATTTCAGTCATAAAACTGGTCTTTTGGCTCTAGTCCTCTGTTGGCCACTAAGCTATCCCAGTTGGATGTTAACTACTTTGCTAAAAAGCTCTTTGACAGCAGTTATATATGGTGGGGAGAATATTTCTCATTTGCTTTCAATGAAAACATTTTTTTTCAACTGGGATTATAAACACCAACGCCCTCGTCAGAAACATGTTTACTTATAACAATGGCATCTTTGTGTAGACTCTCACCTTAGGTTTTAGCGGCAGGGCATAGACAGGTTCTGTGATTGGACATTTCTCCCCTCTGTCCAGAGTCTGGTAAACATGTTCTTCCCTGTCCTCTTCATTCTCCACCTCCTCTTCCTTGTCTTCCAACTCCTCCTCTGAGTGGTCAGGGGAGGACAGACGTGGGCGGCTTGCTAAATCTTCTGACCATCTGTCTCTGAGGAAGGTAAGAAAGTAATATCTCACAGTAACACTTCACTTAACTGCAATAGGCCTTCTTCACAGTAGACATTTTGACTTGTCGACGTAGAAAAGGCACAGGTGTTAACATTAATAATGGGACACTTCTATTCAAGTGTCCCAGCAAGCCATGACAATACAAGCGCCCAAAAACAAAAACAGCTAAATGGAATTCAGCCATCATTCATTTTATTATTTACACCTGTGCTTTTCCTATTGTAAGCTTTTTTCTGTAAGTTATTTGTTTAAGAAAGCAGCCTTCTGAGTACTTTGCTTAGTCACATAAGTGCAAATTCGGAGTACAAAAACTCAATAGATTGGCCAGCATATGAGGAATTAGTGAAATTTTCCCATCTAAAATCAGTATAGTTCACAAAAATCCCATATCATATTATCATTTAAAAGAGTTTTTTTTTTTTTTTTTTTTTTTTTTTTAAGAATAATTTGTCACAAAGCTTGTGATAATACTGGTGTATCTGCCAAAGGAAGTTTACCTGGTGTAAAGTGCTCTGCTGATGTTTGACTCAGATATGAAGGACTCTGATTGATCACTCTCAGAGAAAGACCTTGGCATAACGGGGGGGATGGCCCATGTCTGTCCAGTGAGCGAAGAAGACAAGATGGCTGCTGCTAAGGCTGATCTGTGGATGGGCAGACATAATTCATATGAGGAGAGACAGACACTTTGTGTAACATAAGCACAAGAAATTCATGGTGCTCTCATCATATTTTCACATCATAATTTACTATGTCAACATTGATGCAATACATTTGTTAGAAAAAGGGGAATCTGGCTCAGTTTCCCTAAATTGATTAGGCTGGTGAGACAGGAAATGTTGAGGAATCCTACAGAGAATATTGTTAAAGAGGAAGTTGTTTCCTATGAATTTAATGTGCAGTTGTGCACAAACCCTGCAAGAACGTTTCACTACTGCGCATTCTGATATGAATTTAATCAAATGTGGATAATTGGCTAATTTCCCATTGGAACTTACAAATACTACAACTACTACAAAACAGTGGTTTAACAGAGTCAGGGGAAACAAAGCAAAATGAAAGGATGTTGGAGGTGATCGAGAGTGTTAGGTACCTGGGTCTCTCAGGGGAGGGATTTGGGCTGCGTGGGGGTGGGGTACGAGGCACAGCAGGCTTGGGAGCAATGGAGGCAGCAGGGACCAAACCATGAGCTATATGCTTCTACACAACACACCCAGAGGAAGGTTAGGGGATGAGGTCAGCATCACACAGACATAAAAACACATTAACACACACAGCGGCTATATGGGTGGGAGGTGAAGGGTAGAAAGGATGATTAACGTTACAGCATCACAACGTGACCACCTGATCAAGGAGACAGCGGGCTGTGCTCAAACTATCTGTTACAGCAGTGGACTTGTTCTACTGGAAACACCACAGTAACTGTAACCTCATATCACAGCAGCAGAAAAGTAACGTTAAGTTAACTTAGTGGACAATAAATCCATCAGTTTACCCGCAGGTTTACTTTTGGTCAACAAAATAATCCATACCCAATGTGTTAACGTTGCAAAACTGGTGTTACCAAACGTTAGCTTAAATAATTCTGAAAATATGATTTAATATAACTTAACCGAAGTTATCCGACTAGCGTGGTTTCAATGGCAACTAGCATAACATAATGTTAGCTAGCGTTGAATGGAAAAGGCACTTTGACGGTTAACGTTGAACGTAACGTTACCTTGTACCTCGTAACTTTAGCTAACGTTAGCTAGTACTAGGACATGGTTCGTTTATTTTACAAAAGACGCAAGACTTACATAATCCCTGTCTTTCTCCCTCCTGAAGCTGAATTTTAACATAGTGAAAATGGGTTTTTGATTTCACCCTTGCTTCCCTAGCAAGAGTTATTGTTTAGGTTACGCAAACAGCTTGACTCGTATACCGAACATTCTTTCAAACTGAATTAGAAATGTTTACTTTCCGCCTGCACCCTAAAACGACAAAGCAAAATGAACAAGCTAACTATAATCAACAGGCTGGCTGCTGGCGGATTCTTCGTATCTAGACGCTTCACCACAAGCGGGCACCTCGGTACAAAAGTGGTGCTGATTGGCTAAAGCCGAGGACAGGAGCCAATCAGCGACTGGTATAAGTCACCTAGCAACGATAGCCGTCCCGAACAGCGCCCAGGACAACAGAGGGCGATGTCTTTCCATTTAATGTCATCTCCTGCCTCAGTACGTAGGGCTGTTGTCTTTCTTCATCAATAAACTATTTATCATCATTATTTATCATACATACAATATAGAGAATGCAATACCTGCCTAAAATAACATTTTAGTAATGCCTTTTAAAGTAAACACACATTACCATTACATTATGACGCCTATCTTCAGTCCAGTCCACCTTATTCTTAACATGTTTTAAACAGTTTTATACAGCTGCAGAAACATGGCATACAAACTAAAATAAAGATGTGGCCACTACTTTTCAAAGTTTCCTAAATATCCCCATATTTATCAAAGATGAGTGATAGAATTGAGGTTTTCCAAACATGCACAGATGGACACAACACATTTTGTCATAATAAAATCCATCTTGTTTCAATACCCACCTGTCATGTAGGCCTACAGGGTGATTGCAATAACACACTACTACTACTGCCTGACAATTTTATCAAGTGCTGCCCTTAGCACTTAATAATGGTGGAAGTATGAATCCTATAACCAATAGGATTGCAATATCCACATCTCCGGTTAAAAGCCTCCCCACACATACTCTAAATCAAGTTGGTTTTTTGTTTGTTTTTTAAAAACACACATTAAGTTGCCAGACATTGCACATAGACTATGAATGGCATGAGTGAAGAAAGGCCTGATGGGTAAAACTTAATCACATGATGTTTCTCTTCTGTTTCAGTGACAGCAGATTAGGATGTCAGGTGATCCCAGGCCATACTCAAAACCCATGAGTGTTGGCTTAGTGCGTGTGTGTGTTGGCTCACATAGGGCTGTGGTCAAACTTCATTCCAGTCATTTCCAACCAGCTCGGTAGTTTCAACCACCGAGATACACAGAACCACAAATATATATTTTTCTAGATCCAGGAAATTAGTTTGGTCCCCCTCTTTTATTGAGATTTTAGTTTACACATATGACACAAAGACTTACAACCGAAGCATTCATACCACAGTTGCTATGCAGCACAAAGTACGTAGAAAGAACCAAAGGCAACCTGAAACCTCTAGAACAGGTACCATAACCCTCCGCATATATTTAGAAGGCATTTAAAATCACTATGCACTGTGAAATGCATCATCTGTGTAGGTATACATGCCTCTTTTAGCACACTTAGTTAGCACTTATTAATATCAATTACTGCACATTTTTATATATTTGTGACACTTTCATGATTTAGCATAAATGGCACTTAAGACACCACATTAGGTAAACAGACAGTAAAGAGTGTTACATATTCTCAGTGTTACTGTTGAAAAACACATACATTAAAATGTCTTTTTATAGAAAAAAATGTACCAGTATATAAGTTCACCAAAGGATTAAGCAAGGCTAGTAAAATACATTCCTTCAAGAAACCAACCAAGAAATCCAACGTGCAAAAATTCACTTGACCATTCACAAACTAGTACTGAAACCTACAACTTTACAGGTAAATATATATATATATTTGTGTGCATTTTATTCCATAAATAATTTAATCATCAAATGTGTATAGGAATCTACTTTGTAGATAAAGACATAGTCCAACACTGCAAAGTGTCAGTAAAATGTGGGACATGACTAGGATTAAGACAAGTGGAGACAAATAGAAACCTGACTGTGGACTTTGATCGTAGTCACTGTTGGGTGACCGGCTATTCAGTTAAAACGCAGGAATGTCATCAGTCTGTCCACATTCTTCCCTTCTGGAGACAATATAATGTTAAACAACATAAAGATTCACATTAACAGAGAGACACAGAGCTAATGCTCTTCTTACAAATGGACAAACTGCAGGGTAAGAGGAGTAGGATGGTAAATGGTACATCCTGGCATATCAGGGACATGGAGGCATTTTGGTCTGTGGCATAACTGGTACATTAAGCAATCCTAAAATACCAATATTTCCATTTACAATGTGTCCCAGGCATGACACTAAGCAGAAACAATAATCCACAAAGGCTGTCTCACAAATACAAAAGTGACAATAATACATAACCATGTGTGTGTGTGTGTGTGTGTGTGTGTGTGTGTGTGTTTTTTTAGCAGCTTATAGAACGTTGCATTCATCAACTCTCCCCAGACAAACAACTGCACAGCACAGTTTGTTTTGGCCCAATTACTGTTTAACACAGTGCAACAAGGTTCAGAACATCTACATATCTATTTAGAACATATATGTATTTCAAACCCCAAAACTGAACAGTATCGATTCACTGCAACAAATATCCTGGCAATGGCAGGATCCTTCACATATACAGTATGAAACAGACATGCACTGAGGATATACAGAGAACATAACTGCACAGTGTACAGCTACATCAGTATACAATGGAACTAACATGGGACCGTTTAAACCACAATAAAATTACGCCCTTGCTTTCAAATACCAACCGACGCTGGGTGTGTTTGTACAACTTTGTTTTCGTCCTTCAATTCGTCTGGAGCATTTCTTCAAGAAAACATACTGAGATGAAATTTGTCAGGTGTGTGTGTGTGTGTGTGTGTGTGTGTGTGTGTGTGTGTGTGTGTGTGTGTGTGTGTGTGTGTGTGTGTGTGTGTGTGTGTGTGTGTGTGTGTGTGTGTGTGTGTGTGTGTGTGTGTGTGTGTGTATATGTATATAGACTGGAATGATAGCTGTTTTTCCCCCCCACTACAGTGCCGTTGTACTGTGCTGTACGCATACTGGCATGGTACAGAATGATTTCCCATTGTTTGTGAGCAGTCCAGTTTACTTTAGATACTGCACAGTGCTGGGAAGGTGCCCATGTACAGTACCAACAAAGGCAACAGTATATGGCACGTCCTCTTTCCAAGGTAGCTGGAAGAAATGTCATCATTACATAGGTGACATCCAAGCTAAATACACTACTGCTAAGTATTCCAGTGGAAACAACAAAGGGCACTGGTACTGTACCATAGCACGTCCAGTATGGGTACAACACAGTACTGTATAGAGCCGTACCAGGCTTAATCTGCGTACTGCACGATGCTTAGTAGAGTGCGCTGTCGTTGTAAGAGCTGGGGAAGGTGGGACAGGGTTTGTTCCAGGGAAGGGCGCCGGAGTGGTCAGCTGTGGGAAGGCTGAGGGTGCTGGCGCTCTTCAGCTTGTTCTTCAGACCCCAGCTGATGAAAGATGACTTCTTGGTTACTTTGCGGGACTTGGGGTTCTTGTTGTCGTCATCATAGGCCAAACAAATCATGGAATAGGTCTTAGGCAGGTTTCCACAGAAGGTAGCGCTCTTGGTAGGCTGTGTAAAGATATTGATAGTGACATTTAGTGAAAAGAGGAGAAATCTGACAAACTATCCATGCTGTTCAGTCATCTGATACCAATTTTGTTGTCACTATTTGTCAATCAAGGATACCAGATGGATTACTATTCTCTCAGCCAATAAGGAAGGAGGGCATGGCATACCATTGGAGGGTTACTGTCCATCATGCTGACCACCTGAATGTCGATCCCCTCCTCGTTTACGTCCTTCAGCAGCCGCATCACCTCACTCACGCCCATCCATTTGCAGTCTGTGTCGCCCACTGCAACAATGTAGTCACCCTCTTTCAGACCCTTAGCCTGGAAAAGACATGAGGAAGAATAGGAGTTAGAGAGGAGGGCCAGTGAAATGTCCTGATACTGTAGCAGACGGAGTAAATATTTACATCTGAAGGTTTGTTTGAATGGCAAGTAAGTCAGGTTCACCAAGTTTCCTTCAACACCCTTTAGGCAGCCAGGATCAGCAGAGAAAACACTGAGGTTTAGTCCCAAACAAAGCTTGTTTTACAGCAGGCAAAACACTTGAGTGTTGAGTGTTGTGGGTGTGGGTGTGTGTGCGTGCACTTGAGCACATTATTTCATAGCTGTAGGAAAGCGGTCTTATCTACATGAGCTCAGCTATTTCTGTCTGATAACTTGATCTGTGTTCACAACAGGCAGGTCAGACTCAGCAGCTCAGGAGAATCAGTCAGTTCCAAAAGAAATCCTGTTGCAGGCAGTATTAATAGTTATAAAGAGTTTGGCCCAGTTAAGAGTTATGTAATACTACTAATCTGTTTCTCTGCATAGCCTGCAGGGCCTAATAAGAGCCTGCTCTTTGTCATCACCTCTTAATGAGCTGTCTGACTGAAAAGGATTGCAGAGAGTAAATACTCTGATTCAAAATTAAATTAGTAGCCAGAGTGGCTGTGGAGGGGGATGGAATACATTCTTTAGGTTTCTGAGAAAGACTTATTTGAATTCATGTGATATTCAGTAAGCATGCCTGACATTTCATGTAGACAGGGCCACTCCCTGCTAGTTAAAACTGTTGCAGAGAGTTAATTTTGAGCAACCTACGCATTTGACACCGAGTATGAAATATCTTCTGTGCTGTAAACTAACATAGTTTGTTCTTTTTTCATGACAGCCTGCAGATGATAAAAACCTTTCCCCTGCCCTCAGTGTGAAACTTGAGATGCATCTAGTGACGCATCAGTTAAGAAAGATGGCAGTAAACTATGACCCCCGTTAACCATCAAAAGTTGTGATGTGCCTGTTTTATTGCGTTAACCGTGATGAATCATCTATCTCGAGCTCATTTCGAGTTTCAAAGTCTGGCTTCAAGACCTTCCCCTTGTTCAGCCAGAGGTAATGGGAGGAATGTAGGTTAACTCACAGCAGCTGGGCAGAGGGGATCCAACGAAACCACCTGGACTGGTGTTTCTCCTTTCAGTGTGAAGCCCAGGTCTCTGTCTTCTGGGTGAAGTTGTATTGTCTGTGGGGCTGTCCACCGCTGCTTGGCTGAAAAGACTGACAGAGGGCCCTGAGTGGAGAGATTGTGGGGATGATGGGGTTAATATGGCACTAGGTTTTCTTGGCTCAATAATATCCTCTTGTCCTTTAAGATTTCAAAGATTTTTAACGAAAGGCTGGGTGGAAACTAAAAAACCCAGCATAATAATCCCCTCACATGTCCTTACAGACTACTTAAATGTGATTAAAGTCCACGCCTGTTAGTACATCAGTACATACTGTATATACACTCAGCACTCAGGGGGTACATGAAAGTCTTGTGGCCATAGAGCATATTAAATTATCAATATCTCTTACGCCTGCTCCTCTGGTTTCCCAGGTGTCTGAAATTAGTATTTTCCCCCCTCAAGACTCTACTACGACTCTACTTGACTGCAGATACACATTATCTACCATACTATATGGTTACAGCTGCACTATATAACTATTGCTGCAGCTAACAATAATAATTATTAAATTAATCTTTGTGTGTGTGTGTGTGTGTGTGTGTGTGTGTGTGTGTGTGTGTGTGTGTGTGTGTGTGTGTGTGTGTGTGTGTGTGTGTGTGTGTGTGTGTGTGTGTGTGTGTGCGTGTCAGACATAATTGATCACAAACATGTCCTACTTTTTAGACTGCTGAAGCCATAAATCCACTTCTTATCTGATGGGAAAATCTCTATTTCAGAAATCCTCACAATGTAACACCAAGGATGATGCCTTTTACATCTGCTCCTTTAATTATCACCGTGATGATTATTTAGAAAGATTGTGCTAGATTTAACTTCAGTCTCTCATTTCTCTGCCGATGCAAAAAGGATTTGGGCATTGTTACTGAGACTGTTACTGAAGATCTTGGTGGGATTTTGAAACAGGAATCAGAGAGGTACTTAGTCACGGAGACTCCCTTACACCTGTTGTCAGCTCTGACCTTTGACCTCCTTACCAATTTTTTGCTTGTGAGGTTGTTCCTCTTGAAATTGAAGCCTGTTTTTTGTTATAGTCACTCTATACTGTGCAAGATGAAAGACATGACATATTCGCATTTGTCTCTTTCAGAGGATATGAACAGAAGATTCTAGTTTCAGTGCCAGAGGATGCCAGTACCCCCTCCCAGCCACCAACATGACAAAAGAGCCAGGATCAGAGCACCTCTGTTTGTGGTTAGTGTTAGTTTTGCATTTGTTGCTTTCGATGAGTCCAGGATGCTTTAGGAACAGATCAAATGTGCCAAAGCTATCAGGACTCACCCTTGGTTGGTTGTATTCAGAAATAACAAAAAATGCAGTCTGGGTGTTAAAAGAAACAAGTACACTTCCAACGTCTAAAACACAAGTCCAGAGCCATTTCATGTCATTTAATGAATAAACCAACAACCATGTAAAATAACACCAAGGTGAGTGGAAGAACATTAGTAACCCACATACCAGCCTCTGGAAGAAGTCGGTGACTTTCACCTTTGTGGTTGCAGGGAACTCCATCTCTGCTTTGTGCTCTGTTTTAGCTATGGAAAGCAAGAGGGAAAACAAAGCTGTCATTCTACAGTGTTTACTGTCACAACGACATTTCAACCGTTGCCCTGTAGAGAGGCGGGCAGGCAGTTAGCAGTGTAAATATTACATCATCTGTGACGCGTGATAAGTGAACATAAATGTTACTTATCACATCTGATTGCAGCAGGTGCGGTACACAACACAGCAGTCTTTTTACGAACAGACAAACCTCGCAAATCAACACATTGGTCCCGCTTGACAGTGTTTGTTGTGCTGACACTAGGGTGACTGCTTGGTTTCTATGTCAACCACAGAAAGCAAAGCTGTAACCTCAGTGGCCCTTAATGGAGACTCAAATAAATGTTACCACTCTTCTTATCCTATCTCAGCTTCTCATGTTTACTTGAACAGGATATTTACATTGTGGCTATGCTGTTGCCTTCTCTTTAAAAACATTTAAGACTTACAGATGATATCTGGGGCCTCTGTGTAGTCAGTAAACTCTTCTTCATTTTCATGTTCACTGTACTTGTTGAGTGAGCGCTGGTGACTGGCTTTTAAAATGTCCTGCAGGGCGTCTAGCTTGTTCAAGTGGTGGCATAGAGCATAGATCCTCAGAGCCTCCTCATGACCCAGGATAGCCCGACGAATGTGTGCTTTACCTGGGAGGAGGATGGAAAATATATATAGACATAGGACAGGTGAGGAGAAGTGGATGGGGAGAAGAGAAGTGAATAAGAGAAACAATAGGAAAGGAAGGGGGAAAGAGGAGAACAAGGAGAGTCAGGTCTGGTGTTGTGGCACTCTACTGTGCTCTATTATCTTTCTTTGCCTTCTGCTGTGCTCAGTCTGTGTGCTCACTCTTACCAATGCGTTCACGTTCATCTTTACTTTTCAGGATGTCTAGAGGAGAGTCTCCCTCAGGAAGGCGATCGTAGACCTGCGACAAGGTCTTCTCCTGCTGGTCCTCATCGTCACTGGAATCCACTGAACACATACAGCAAAAAGAATGTTAAAATGAATACAATTTAACATTGTCTACCACCAATATTGGCGTCAGCGCTGAAACAAATGGCTCTTGAAGGGCATGATGCGATGCCATGATTACAATGATTGCAGAAAATCTGAACTTGCAAGACAGGACGCTGTATGTAGGTGCAGTGCACAGTACATACTGTTCGTACATTATTGCACACTTTCAACCTTTAAATTTAAATAAAACAAAATTTATGATTCGGATATACTGTACAGTATATATTTATGTGCATATTACATATTAGCACGAGACAACAATCAGTAGTTCATCAAAATGCGAATCCACCCAAAACTTGTGTAATCTTATAAGCTCTCCTCTCCTTCCTCTCACGATTCACCTTGTTTAAAAGGTAAACCTAACGCATCAGAACTTTCCAGTCTTCCCCTGATTAGTCTGCTTCATTTAGACCGTAAGTGTTTAATTTGAAGTGTCTGTTTACTACAGCGGTCTTCATTCTGTCCTGTTTGAGTCCTCTCTCTACAGTCCCATGGTTAATTGCTCTATTTTCCTCATTCACACAGGAATCTGTTAATGAGCTGCCAAACTCAAAGCTGCTTTGCTCCGTTGTTCCCCTATTCAGTCCTGTCCCATTCAAAGCACTGGGTAAAACTATCACTGTAAAGCTTAATATAATCTGCTGTATTTTGTTTAATTTGGTTTTCAGCATTAGTGGAAGGTTTTTGTTCACTCTAAAAAACACTTTTCACTTGCTTTCTCGCTTTATTATGTAGACAGCATTGAGAGGCTGCATAACTGTAATCCTCCAGCATTCACTCAATTTCACCCACTGCAACCATTCTCACTCCTGCTTAGCCTCTCTTTGCCGCATGTGTGTGTGTGTGTGTGTGTGTGTGTGTGTGTGTGTGTGTGTGTGTGTGTGTGTCTCTAAATAGCTATTACATAATAGCATTGTGGCTGGCTGCGGTTCAGTCCAGCCATCTGACATGACCAACCCAGTGGCCCATACAGCACTTTAAGAGCAGGATCAGGTTTTCCACGGTGTTCAAAAAGTGTTATAGAACCAATCCCAAAATTGTTTTTCACCTCAACCACCAGGCTGATACCACATAACAAGCAGATTAAAATGTGTACAGTAGTAAATGAAGCAGATGAAGTGGGGTTGGAGGTTGCTGATGATTAGAGTGAATAAAACTTTGTTGACATAAACTCCACCTGTTGACCCAAATTCACTGCAGTAGTTGGTGTTGTTGTTAAAAGAGAAGAGGGACAACGTTTGATTTGTGCTGACTTTGCAACTACAGTTAGAAGATTACTTTGTGTGACAGCATGTCTGTGAAGAATACACCCGTCTCCATTTGGAGTCTAGGGCACTACTGCAGCTGCTTAATAAATTACATACTTTACATTACATTGCTAAACAAGTAGTAGGCTTAGCTTCTTAACTTTCTCAAATTCTAAATTCAGATCAACCTCATGCCCTCATATTTTACACATCAAACCTGTGTAAAAATGATTAAGGTCTCAATAAACAAATGTTCTTACATTGGTGGTCTAAGAGCGCTGAGGCAACAAAGTAATGTGCCATGGAGCGGTAGTGGTTGGTTTTGACTTGTGACATTGTGGACCAGAAGAATGGGACATTGTCTTTGATTGGTGTCTGGATCATGGACTGGTGGACTTGGTCGTAGATTTCTGCCACCTGGCGGGAAAAGCAGGATAGAGTTACTGAGTTAGTGATTGGACATATTCACTGATAGAAGTGAGCAATACGACTGTGGTGACATTTTTGCTTTACATTAACAGTCCAAGAATACTGTGCCTATATGATGAAGGACTATGTGTGTGTGCCTTTGCTGCCATTTACCTTTGCAGCCTCCTGGGCCATTTTCATCAGGGAATAGAACTGGTTTCGGATCCCGGGCAGTGCAGTCTTCTCAAACAGACACTCCTGAGCCTGAGCAAGCATCATCCGAATCAACATACTGAGCATGGCTGGACTCATATCGTAGCTGGGAGTGTGGGTGAATGTCTCCTTCAGGTGGTTCAGGAGGCCTGGGTGAGAACCAAAGGTCAGCACAGCTCAGAACCAAACTATTCCAAGGAAACAATACTTCTAGTTAATTATTTGGGAACATCTGTGCCAAAACAGCAGCAAGGGAAGACTAGGCTTCTTTTTTTGTGTACTTTCCCAGCTTGTGTGGCAATCTGAACTAAAGACCTTTTAGTCACTTTTACAAATAATATATGCCATATTTAAAAGACAAGCATGTAACTCAGGACAATCTAGATCATTTTTAGCTTTGTGAAAACAAAAATAATTTGATAATTTGATTTTTCAACTAATTACAAAGAGGCCCATTTACATCATAAGGCTCAATGATTATTTCAAACCAAACCCTTCCTATAAGGGATACTGTATCCATGCAGTGTGTCTATCCCACAATTATGAAATCCAGTCTCCCAGCATTCAGCAAGTTACTTAGATAGTGTTTGTTAGTGCTACTAGTAGTAGAGTTGCAAGGATCCTGATGAGAGTGCAAAAATATGACCACATCACACCCATTCTCCACTCGCTTCACTGGCTTCCCGTTTCTGCTAGGACTGAATACAAGGTCTCCCTCGTCACCCACCAGCGCATCTATGGAAATGGCCTATTGCTGTCACTGTGGTATCCAGTGAGGGGAAAAAAGTTCACTGCCAGCAGCAAGATCAACGTCTGTGTGCTTCTTTAAAATTAAGCCAAGACACAAACCTCCTTAAATTAGTTTTTCATGTTCAAAGAAGCAATGAGACCATCTGCATTCCAACTGAGAAGGCCTCCCTCTTATTTTACTGATTAAAAAAAAAAACTGGCAGCAGAGAGCTGTAGACAACTTAATAACAGAGCACTGCCTTGCTAGTCTTCTAAGATTTTGCCATTGTTGGCTGGCTCCTCCCATCACGTAAACCTCTTTTGTGTCCCTAGCTTAAGGGCAATGCAGCAGCCTTTCTATAGCTAGCATCCCTGCCGTTCACCTTAGTTTATTACTGGCTCTTTGCACTGGTGACAATGTTCCTCATCACAGCATAATTGTTTTACTTTGTACAAGCCTAAATTATAGCCATCAAAGCAACATAACCAAAGCCATGGCCTGTTCAGAGCTGTAATTATACAGCAATACTCCTGCCAAGTCATAATTCTATCAAGACGTCTGAGCTTCCTGAAAGCTCAGAGGGTTTGAGAAACCAGTTCATATGGTCGGTGCTTCTCTGGAGCTCAGCCACATGACAAGAAGCCAGAAAAACATCAACTGCGTTCATTCTCCGTCATGGAGCAGAGTCAGGGTGGAGGCTGGCACATATTCTGAAAATAAGGCTGCGTTCGCAACAGTACACCATCTCTAAACAATGTATCTCTTTAATGTTAAAAGTCATTAGAACATGTCTGGGTCATAGTGAATCACTGATATACATCTCAAATGTTGTAAAGAACAAAATTATAAAAAGAGAACGTGTTGCCGCCACTGTCCGCTCCATTTTCCAATCACTTATCACAGGTGCTCTTTGTGAACAGTTTCAGTGGGAGCAATGGGAGCATTTCAGAAGCTTAGTTACTCCATTATTTATGTTTGAATGACTAAAATCAGATATTGCATGGGATCACAGATAAGCCTGGTTTTAAGAAATAAAGTTTCTTTTTTGACATCTTTGAAAGCTAGAAATGACTTTAGAACAGGCTGATGAGAGAGGAATTATCTGATTAAACCAGTTTATCACGCCTATCTCTTCCTACCTGCAGCTTTCTGGAAGGAAGAGGTGGCCTTCTCTAAACCAACTACTGTCTGTCGGTCACTACGGGTACCGATCTGAGAGTAGAGGGCAGCCATGTTGAAGAGGATGCTGGCCTTCTCCAGTGACAGGTTCTGTTGGCATACCGGCACTCCTGTGAAGGAGTCGTACCTGAAGGAAAGAGGTGGAAGCAGTCACTTTTTTTGTAAGGCAGGAATCAAAACAGTCACACAGCGCCTTATAGAACATAAAATTATGTTGAGTAAAAGCCAAAACTATTTAAGACTAAGATATACCTAATAATACTGAATATGATATTTAGAGTTAAAAATATGTTCAGCAGGATTCAAGCAGGCAAATAATATAAAATTCATAATAGCCACAAATAATGTTAAAACTATCCAGTGACATTTACACATATTGTATATGTTCTGTATTTTCACTCAGTCTGAGTTTACATCCTCTTTCAGTTTCTTCTCTTTTATCATCTCTCCTTTACATCTAAAAGTTTGTGAGTGTTTATGCCTTTAAGCTACACTCCTCCCTTTTCTCCATCTCTGCTGCATGAATGAATGAAGTGCATTTTGCATTAAGTCAGTGGGGAGCCTTCACTTGGATGCTTTTCAGACACTTAGCACTGGATATCACAACTTGTCCTCCAAATAAAAACTGCTCCATTTGCCCTCACAAACTCAATTAACCAGATTCAGTATTAGTGACTAATCTGATAACGAGCATGCTAAAACAAATGTCCTTCATTCAGACCCGCTTTGCTCACACGGTAGGGGGTTTCTAATTATTTGCTGACCTTGCTAAAGTCTTCTCACTGTTCTATCTCCTCTCAATAGAATTCTTCAGCTTATAACAGGTTCAAAGTGCAGCAGGAGGGCATAACCAAACCAAAAAGCTGTGATCAAACCAGTGTATTTTACTTATCTCTCCTGTAATAAAAAGCACAGCCTGTCTGCATCTTCTGGCAGAGACATACCAGCTGATCCACAGATTTAAGACCTTTGCTGTTTAAGCTCAAAAGGCTTTGGAGAACCCTGGTGTAGGGGCTCAAGGCAGCTAGATTAAAGAGCACAGCTTTGCTTTTTGCCTGTTTTTATCACTGCTGTAATCTCACCTGTGGCCTTTCTGTCTTAAAATTAGCAAGTTATAGTAATATTTATATTATTTATTTTGTGAACCTTTGCAGCAGTTATTTCCATTTGATTTATTTTGTCTACATTTTAACAATATCTTATGAAGTAAGTAAAGTACATTTTGATCATTCCTTTTAAAGATGGTTTATTATTATTTATGCATGTTTTAATTGGTGTTAATTAGTAATATTTGGTAATAATAGGTGCGTACCAGGTGAAGAAGATACCCGTCTGGCGGTTTGGGGAGAAGAACCGGCCCTCCATCAGGGGAAGATGGCTGAAGTATTTTGCCAGCAGGTCCACCCCAGCCTCGTTTCGACTTGGCGTTCTGCAAGCCTAGGACATGAAAATTAAGATCTAATTCAGTCTGCAATAATGGAGAACTTCTTGTGGTGACGATGCACAGTGCTGTTGTTTTCGCTCAAAATAGTGGTGTCTATGTGCACCATAGATGGTTTTACTTTTAGGTACATGTGTATTTTACACAAAGGGATTTGATTTTTTCCCCGATTTGTGCTGCTCACGGCATCAAAAATAGACATTTGAAAAATGTTGACAAACAGCACTGCTTGTCTTGCACAAGGTTTATGGATAATCCAGAGAAACTTTGCATGAGAAGAAGCATTGCTGTCTTTCTGATGTCATTTCCAATGTTTTGAGCACCACAAAAAAATCATTCATCTCCATTGTATTTGGGTGGTGGCAGAAATCCCACAGACCAAAACCTAAAAAACCTCAGGAAATAAAACAATCTGCATGGCTAGAGAACACTAGACTGGGATGAGAAATATGTTATTGTGATTTGGTTGAACCAACCATTTAAATTCCAAAGTTCTTAAGAGAAAAGGTTTCATGGTGCCTTGTGTGGTAGAAACCGTTTTGGATGCTGGCCATATTAAACCCCTTTTGAATACACTGTGGTGTGTTCATGCAGATGATGATTCTGAAACCAATTATTATGGAGACCACTGGTGTAAACAAGCCACATATCAGAAGCAATGACCATAAAATGTCTGATCAGACTATGAGCATGTACTACCTGTCGCAGGTCCATGAGATCAGCAATCTCATCTTCATAACTGTTCCCATCTTCACTGTAGTGCTCCAAGATGAAGTCCTGTGAGAAACAAATACAGCTCAACATCTCAATACAAATATATTTCTGGTCAGTTTTTCAGGAGTGTGCTGGGGCTTAACCATGTGACCTTTAAGTTATGGGGGCGGCCTCTCTCGCAACTAGTCAACTCTGTCACATCATTCTTAACTGTACACAGAAGGTAAGTCCAACTGTGCTGTGCCAAGTAGGATGGTGAGAGCGGTCATTCTGTCAGAGCCAGAAACACGAGGTCATTAACACCGCGGTGTGAGTACAGTCGATAAGTAGAGCAGCATTAACCTGCTGTGAGATCATGAAGTCAGAACACCTCTCACAATACCCACCAACAAATGATGCAACGCACTGTTAATGTGCCATCATGACATTTACGAGCGCGCTTCCTCGCACTGGGACATAGCTACATAATAACACGTCTCAATAACTGCTGACCTACTTTTGTTAGACAAATCTTTTTTAGTCATGATGTATTGTTCCTGACTGAATGAATAACGACATAATGCAGTGCTTCAGCAGGTGTACAGGGTGCAGACAATGTGACCCAAATACTTCATGAAAGGAGACTTTCATTTTGCAGTAACCAAATCCTTATTGTAAACGCTGCGGTCATATTTATTGCATGCAAATTTTTGTAGTTCACATTATTGTGTATCTTTCATACATTTGGACAAATCCAAAAGTCAACTATTTATTCAAATTTGCTGTTATACAGAGGGAATGGTGAAAGTGTTGCTTCTGTACCTTGAATAGAGTGGAGAAGTCAACTTCTTTTGTCTCCTTCAGACCCAGAGCAATTAAGGGGATGTTGGCTGTTTCCCTACAAGCAAAAAGGTAAGGAAATATCAAGATCAGCCATCTTATGGTCAATATAATACACACGAAAGAAAACATTCTTGACGTCTGCTCTCAAGACTGTTGACAACTCATGATACGGCAGGACTTCACATACAAAAAAGGACAATGCAGTGCTTATCTGATTCACATATGATTAATGTACGCTAGGCCAAACAGAAAGTACATAAATTAGTCTAGAAAAGAAAAGCAGGCTCTAAGGTGTGGTACAAGATATCAAACAAAATGAAACTCCTTTTGCACACTTGTTAGGGATATCTCGTCAATAACATAGTAAAATTATTAGCATATAATAATAATAATAATAATAATATAATAGTATGTACATTGCCAGGAACAGATTGATCACACCAAAGGGCAACTTTGTCACTTGAGAAAGTTTACATTTTAGTCTAATCTTTAGTCTAGTTTTACTGAGGGGAAGTCAGGATTAGGCAGATGGTGCTCTAAGCACTCAGTGTAGGGAGGTAGGACTTAAAGCTGAATGGGGCCCCCACGTCTCCTTGTATTGTAAATTTGCAGCCATGCGTCAGTGTCACTGAAGATTCTTTGCTCCATGCTCTGTCAAAAGCAGGCACTTAACCTTGTATTATTTGAACACACCAAACTGTAAACATGCCATAAAACACAAGCTTAACATTCCCTTCTGACCTCAGCTGTAGCGAAGAAGGTTTAGGAGTTTTTCTGGTTATTTGAACCTGGAGGTCCACGCTGCTGACAGATGGAAAGCAGGTTGAGCTTGTTATCGGAGTTGATGAAATATAACCTGACAGATACCTGCTGCTAATCAGACAGAGTCTATAGAAAACCAAACCCTCCCCCAACTGAAAGCAGGGGAATGAGGTGTTGCTAGATAAATATCCCTTTTTAAAAACAAGCTCTGGTTGCTTATGGGCATTTAGGTTACTCAAAATAACGTCCAATGATGGTGACAGTAGCATAAACTTCAGTCCAAACACTAACAACATTATCAAGTCAGCAATATGTTGTTATACAAAACCTATTTTAATCTGGAATCTTATGATTAAAAAGGATCTGAGATGAGGTACAGCCTTTTCACCGCACAGTATGTCAAAACCACAGGGTTCTGAAAAACAACTCCTCACACTCATCACTTGATGATAAGGCAGCATTCCTCAGAGCATACTGGCTCCGTGAATCACAGTAAACCTCATTCATCAGTAACACTGAAAGAGCGAGATAGAGGCTGCGGTGTAATCCATTAGTACTTGTAGATGAGATCACACTGGTCTTTTCTCTAGTTTGGCAGATGGAGGGGCATGGGGGGTGAGGATGTCTGTTCTGCTAGGTATCTGAAATGTTAAAAGCCTCTCAGAAGCCTACTCCCCCTCCCTGCGCACGCACGCACACACACACTCACACACACGCACCTTCCCACCTATCGTGTTAAGTGCCAGTGTGCAAGACACGGAACAGACGACTACTGCCTGCCAAAGCAGTCAAGCGAAGCTCTGCTTTTAGCTACAGAGAACAAAGCGCAAATTAAACCCTTTCCTAAACATCAAAACTATGCTGAGTCTCAAAGCATATTCAGTAAACATCATTTTGTTTTGATACACAGTATGTTGACATCAGGCTTAAGCAAGATATTTTGGCTTCTTGCCCTCTTTGAATTTAGTACGGAGGGATCTCCCTAGATAATGAGTGAAATACAAGTCTGTTTCAAAGGAACAGTTTCACATTTTGGCACTTATTTGCTTTCTTGCCAAGAGTTACATCATCTGTCAATTAGTATGAAGTGAAAGCCAGGAGACTGTTAGCTTAGCATAGCAAGACCGCAAGCGGTGTGAAACTGCTGGCCTGGGGAGTGGTGGGGTCATGCTTCCTGTCTTTGTGATAAGCTGGCCATGTCGAATGTCAAAATATGGCTAAGATACAATTACAAAAACATAATTTCAATCCAAAGATTTTTTTTCATATCAATACAAACAATATCTAGCATATGCAAAATAACATTAGGTAGTGCAAATAATGCAAATAAAAAGACAAGAGCAAATTATTTTTTCCACTCAATCTCAAGAGGCCTGCAGTGCTGACATCTTTATCTTACGGTTTTCGTTTGTCATCATTTTAGCTGAGCTGATTCAGAAGGTTGAGGGAAGTTTGTTTTCCAGGTCAAGAACATTACACAGAGGAACTGAACTGAAACATTTACTACCGGTACAGCACAAATCTCAGAACAAGTGACATGTTGGTGCTCTGTGTGACACTTAAGGATTATAACACTAAATATATATTTTTAAAAAAGCATAAGTCAGCAAAGTGATATAAATCCTTTCTGTATTTGCGTTACCATTTGATTAGATTATTTTTTCCTAGGATGGTTCACCCTATGTGTTTTCTGTTAAACATTAACAGCTGTATCTGGTCTAAGTGAGAAAAATCCTCAGAAAAACACTATTCAGAGGACAGTGGAGTGGTGGGAAAAGGTTTCGGTTTCTGTACCCAAGACTGAGGTTGTATTTCAGGCTAACTCTCCATTGTGGCTACGCGGGATCTACTCACTGAGACACCTGCTCAGAAATGACTCTCTGAATATTTCAATAGTCCCTTTTACATGTATGCATGACCTTTTTTAGATCTGGTAGTGTGAATGTGATCAAGTGAGCAGTTTGGATGTTGCATGTGTTTAATTTCTTTTAAAAAACCAACACACACTTGTGACTGATGGGAGTTTCACATCATGTCAACTGTCTGCAGATGGAGCAGTGAGCAGGTGTTGCTCTAAGAGCCTGACAAGGAGGCTAAATGTTCCCATACTCGAGTCAGTCTGATCCTACGTGAAAGAGAACACTTTGACCTTAAGACTGAAATTTGAGGATGTCCACATCATGTAATTAGTAAACTAAATGTCTTTTTTTTTTCTTAGTAGCTGATATGTTTCTTTGAGCAGGACACCAAAAATAATTCCTATAAATAATTCCATAATAAATTCCTGAAGGGTAAGATCTTATCTTCTTTCCAATTTAAACAGGGAGTTCAGCTTGTCTAAGAAGATGATTTAGGTTAAAGGCTGCTGTTCTTTACAGCAGTGAGACCTCGTAAGCAAAACAACCTAATCTGGGTGTGCCAAGGAAAGTTGGTATTTAGTGTTTTATAAGGTCATTTGGAGATTTATGTCAGAATTTAAAGGAAAACTCGAACCAAGGCTCATTTAAAATCCCTACTAGATGTTTTTAGAATAAAAAATAAAAAAAATAAAAAAAACAGCCTGATAGTAGCAGCTTGGCACCTTTGCAAAAAGATTTCTGTCAATGACCCTCAGAATTGTACCCATAGTTACCACTATACAACACACCATCCCCCACAATCCACTACAATCTCCCAGCCTTTCTCAACACTTTATCGCTCTGTTGTGATTTGTTGTCATGGACAACTTGGCATTCTCTACAGAAGTGCTTGTTTTGGGTTTTGTTTGCAAGGTAATGCTTATATTATGCACATTTTTGTTTGTTTATAGTGTGTGGAGCACACCTGTGTGTATATGTATGTTGCCTGTGTGAATGTGTAGAACAGGTGCGTTTGTGTGTTTTTCTGTGCGAGTGTGTGTGTGTGCGTGCCTGGGCAGATGGTTTCTGAAGGTCTCAAGTGTTCTTAATAAGAAGAGACCACTTTGAAGCAGACATGCTTCAATCCAACAGGAAAAATTATTAACACAACTATTTTAAGACTTTATTTTTAAGACACTTATTTCATTGTTATATGTTCAAAATGGAAACACTTTATTGTCACTTTATCTTCAGTTCATCATTTGTAATCTCTAAAACAAAAGGCAGTGAAGCGTTTGCTTTCAGTCAACCAAGTGCTATTCTTCACAAAGCACCATAGTTCACTTTAAATCCATTTGGCTATTTAGTCAGTGGGTGTCATGTTATCATGAGGAAATGTGTTATTCAGGGAACAGACAATTTTCAAATAATATCCGCCACCACTGTCATTTCTCATCACAAGTCCTTTGTGTATTATTAAAGCTTACTTGACACGTGACTGAGACGATGTATCATCGTGACATGCCTACTGCATTTTCAAACACACCCTATATACCTGGCTTGTCATTAAACAAAGAAAACACCAGAATCTTTCACTGTCACACACACCAAAGCCTTATCTTAGTTTGCCTACAAGTTCAGCTCATCGTTTCCTTGTTGCTCTGTGCATTGTCCCAAAAACCAGCTGGTCCAGTTTAACAACAACAAACTCTTCCACTTTGTCTTGTGTTTTTCCATGTCCTTCTCTTCCTCCTTACACACCTTTTACCTTCTTGTATATCATCAAGCTTCTCTCATCTAAAAGAGTACTTGATTAACCAAAGAGTGTCAGAGCCACATCAGTCTCTTTTTGGCTCAGCACTGTGTGTCTGTGTTCTTCTATTTCTGTATTACCAGTACGAGGTTTATATCGCCAGATCAAGGACTTATTTGCACACTGAGGTCACTTCAGCGTTCAGGCCATGTAGCCTTCACTTCTGCAGGGTTGGGAAAACCAGGATCAGATGTAGTTTAGGATTAAGGTTTAAACTGTACATAATTTTGGTGAGTTTGGGTAAGTGGTAACCTTATTATGCGACAAGAGGACTGGTGCCAAAGTCATTTGTGTCTACCTTGGAAAGTTCTGGCTGCTGTGCATGCATTTTAACATGCAATCTTTTTAACAGCCTCATTACAGGCAGTTAGCGTAAAAGTAAACATTTAATTAATCTGAAAAATGTAAGTAATTAGTAAATTACTAAGTAGCTTGTAATATTTGTACTTACTGGGTGTTCTGGTAGACCTCCACTGAGCTGTTCAGTCCTTCCAGCTCTCCCATCAGCAGCTGCAGGTTGGAGTTGACATAGCTCAATTCCAACAGGACCATCTCTTTAACCTTGTTGTTAGATGTGGCCCTGCACACAGGAGAGATTGGAGAGAATGCAGAAAAATGAAAAAGGACATAAAAAGTGAGACATTAAGAAATCAAATGAAAAGACGGGAGAACAGAAATATCAGCCTTGTTATTATCCTCTCTAACGTAGCCAAACGTTTTGCAGCTCGTTATTAAAACAAGCGTGCCTCTCCTGGTACTCTGGACCACAGACCTGCGTCACTATACCCTGCTGTGCACTTGATTTACTCTCCAGCACGCAACAGCTTAACCAAGATCTATGAATCACAGCTGTAATCCCTGCGTAGTGCAGAAACTCATTTCCATGGTAAAATCATTGTTTTAACTAAAATCCACAATCACATGACAAATGTGTTATGATCGCCCTATATTTTCTGCAACAAACTCGGGAGAGGTTGCAAACAAAAATTAATGCACATGTTTGAGTTGAGGTAAGGGAGATCAGAGCATTACACTGACTATGTGTGTGTTGAAGGGGTTTGTGCTCACTGCATAGTAGAGATAAGGCTGTAATAGTAGCTCTGAGTGGGGTGGGTGTGCGTGTGTGTACACATACGAATACAAAGACAAAGAGGCTGGATCCTATGTAAAACAGAATTTATGGCACATTATCAGTTTGTGAAAACGCAAACTGCGACTCACATGTATCTGTGGTGATACAACGTTATACACACACGAGAACAGACCCTCCTCAGTGGTTCCACCTTATCCTTATCTCTGTTTTACAGTGAATCCCAACACATTTTCTGTCAGTCGTAACTAATGCTGCACATACCCACACGTACACACCCTGTCCTAAACTCCGGTCTACAGATGATTCCTCATTGTCAGTCTGGGCCTTTCTTCCTGTCACCTAATATTTCTCTCTCTACCCAGTAATTATGTTATTGCAGAGGATGTGATTTTTAACAAGAAAGGTGAGATGTGAAGAAGACCAAAACTCTATCCAAAAACTGAATAATTGAATGTGGCCTTATAGTTATATCGGTTGCTTTTAAATGTTGGCCACATGCATTACCAGATTACTGTAGTTTTTCTCTTCATGCAACACATTGCTTAACATTCACAAACCATCGCTTCCTTTTGGCCTGCTGATGGGTTTCTAAGGAGGTTTGGCCTGAGAAATCCATCAGGGTGGATGAGGTAGAAGTGCTGTGGTTTGGACAAAAAAAATATGCTACCTCACCAGTGCAAAGGCTGTTATTAATATCCAATTTAATATCTAATATCATCTCACAGAGCGTGGGAAAGGACAGGCTGTTTTTATGCTTTTGGCAGATTGACAGTCTGTTGTATTTTCCTTGAGGCCTCTAATCTGAGGAGAGGCAACCTAGAACTGATAGGGGTGTGATGAGATCTCGAACCAAGAGATTAAAATGTGACAAGATTTCTCATCAGTTTCAAAGCATAGACTGTATAAAGGTTAAAATCTGTCAGAGAACACGGATGTGGGATAGATAGAATATGATCAGAAAACTTGCTGAAATACAGGAGCTCTTAAATTCCAGAAGTTTATAAATGAATTAAAATGAATTAATTTATCATTGAGGTAAATAGGTGTCACATGCACATTTAAAGAGGTTACTTCCCCAAACAAAAGACTCAGAAGAGGAGGGAAGACTAAATCACGCCTGCACGTGTGCTGACTCAGCAGGGATGATATTACATGAGAAAAGTTGATCTAAAGGAGAAACAGATCTGAGAGCAGCACAGGATGCCTGAGAACCTGACCACATTACATTCTGGTTCTGATTTTTAGATTTTGAATTGACACACACCACCTGAATTTTGTTTCCCTTTACATACATAAAACATTTCCAAAATAATTTGGTGCAGAAACTTCACCAGAATGCATTTAGCATTGAAGATTTCTTAAAAATAGTCTTAAAATCTTGTCTCGATCTTGTGAAACCAATATCATGTCTCGTCACACCCCTAGGGACTGATTAGAGTTTCATAACTTACAGAGATAATTACTCCATTACATAAAGCTCCACCGATTTTACAAATAAAGTACAGTTGACTCGTAATTAGGATTATTCAGACTGTGCAAAAACAGTATATTGTGTTCTGTGGCACTGAGGGAAGTTTGATAAAAATACTTTCAAACACAAATCGATTCAATGCTCAAAGCCAAGCCAAGCCGACATAATCCTAATGACATCATCAAGGTTACCTTGGCTTTGGTTTGAGATTTTCAGAGAATAACTACATCATAAACTTCAGTTGTGGGGTTTGAAAAAAAGTGGGCATTTAGGAGGCAGGGAGGATCCAAGTAAAGACTCTTTGTCTTTACTAGGTTGCATTATGGGAAATGTAGGATCCTGTGTTTTAGGAGCTTGACGCATACTCTGGTCAAAGCAGAAAATTGAAGTAGCAGTAAACATCCTGACTTCTAGTCCATTCGTCTTTGTTTCTATCAAGTCACCCAGCTATACTAAAATCGCTGGAGTACTTTAAAGCACTACATGTGGGTGTCTATGCTGATTTTGGCAGTTTTGTTTTTCCTGTATCCTGTCTTTTTCTCTCCAACATCTTTGCTGTTAAGAGAAGAAGAGAGAAAACAAGGGACTGGTCTGACCAGACTAACTCCACCTGTTGCAGATAGAGAGAGGAATGCAGAACAAGAGAGGCAGAAAAAAGGTGATGTAGGTGAACTGACAGCACCAAACAAGGAGAAAAACACACACACACACATACACACACACACACACACACACACACACACACACACACGGGCCATAATAACTCAAACTAATCTCCTAAAAGAATATTTTTATGCTGCTAACAAAATGCCAACATAAAAACGTTCTGGAATGTCTTGTTTTTTTTTTCCTGAGAATGTGTTTTTGACATGACAATACAGGTAGATGTCCAAGGCAGGAAATGAGAACCCCATTATGGACACACAGATGGAAAATCACAGGTAGAACTACAGTTAGACTGCATATTATTTAAGGCCTGGTGTCTAAGCTGAGCAAATACCTGAAACAAAAATGCATCAGGCTGTTCTCTGTGCTGCAGCTGGGCTGGCAAACACAAACCCCCCCCCCACACACACACACACACACTTTGCCCCCGGCCTTGGCTGGGCAGAATATGTGAAGTACTGGAGGAATGTGGAGGCTTCTGAGTCTGACAGTAGGCTTAGACAGGCCTAACGGACACATACACATACACACAGACACACACAGAGTGGTATCCTCCCTCACCAGACTAACCTTAACACAAACGGAAAGAGAGCTGATTCAGGAATCCCAGCGGGAGATGTTGAGGTTGCAATAAACACTACTTGTATGAAGCTTTAATATACCATTTCTGTTTACTGATATGTAAGGATGATTAAGCTGCCAGTATGCTTCATCAGAATTGATTGTCAGGTGGAGGTGATTCCATTGTCGAATTAGGGGGAGCTGTGTCCAATATTTTCTGTAACTTCCTAAAACCAACAATCCGACTTTCACACCTACTTCACATTGGCCAGCATCAAAGTGAGGAAGGAGCCAGGGTTTAAACTCAACCTCTCTTTTTTTCCCCTTTACACAACTATTTCTGTCACTTTTCATGCGTACAACACAGATGCAACACTGTTATTGTCTTACATGATTGATAGTCTCAAAATGTGCGGCGCTATTAACATATTTAAACTATTATTGCATCTCTCCCCCCTCAATGGAACTCGACCGATCACAACAGCCACAAACAAGTTTAACTCGACCCTTAGGCAAAACATAAAGTGCTATTTACCATGTTGTCCAAATCTATGTTAAAAATGCAAGAAATTGCATTCAGAAAATAGCTTTTTTGAACACAAAGCCTGAGGTTGAAGGTGTATGAGAGAACAGTAAATTAATTTTCTCTGTTGCATCGTACCTGCTGAGAAATCTGATCTCAAATTACGTCATTCAATCCTACAAGAACAGGTATTTTAGCAGGAAGAAAACATTTTCTCTATTTATTTTCAGAATCCCAGAGAATAAAAACACCCAATGAGTCTAAGAGCTGCTGCCTATGGTACATCTTTTAGCTTTCCAGACATAGTATGATAACAGGGAAACTTTTCTTAGTCACAGAAGAAAAGGTATTTTCTGCATAGCACGTACTGCAGCTGTACAGGTCAGATGCCAAAGTACCCGTATCCTATCCGAAATCATGACAGGACAATATCACACTTTTGAAACCTATAATCAAAATACCATAGGCTCAAAAAAAATGTTTACTTTTTTCTGAGGTTTGTGTGTGAGCCACACACAGAAGCTCTTTGTTTTCAGGGCACATGGAATGCCCCTTTTCAACATTGTTATCACCCAATATGATCTGCCTCCTTTGTTGGTTTAACTCTCACCAAGAACTCACGACAACTCATGACAGAACGATGACAGACCAACAGGAATTTATTAGTGGTCAAATACACCACAGTGACATGACTAGCCATACAGACGTGAATGAATGGCGTGAGCACAGAGAGAGAGAGAAACTTAGAACAGCTGTATTCCCTTATGCAAGAAATGCAAATCTGTTTTTACGTGTGCATTTTTGTGCGAGTTCAAATCATCCTGCACTTTGTTATTTTTGGTAAATGATTCCCCACTAACCAAATCCACTTCATAGGGAATTGATAAATTAAGCTGACACACAACTGTATGTAAGTATGTACGCATGCATGCATGTATTATCATCCATCAGTTTCGATCTTACCTCAGCAGGTTCTCAGCTCCAGCCCTCATCCTCATCTGCTTGATGATCTGCTGGTTCAGACTGGCTCGCTGATTCTGCAGCTTGCTTCGTCCAGTCTGGGCGAACGGGTTACAGCCCTGAGATAAGAAGATGCAGGAACAAACATATCATCAGACAATACTATCTTATTAAAATGTGAAAAGAAACTGCATAGGTAGGATGATGGGGTTTTTTTACACTGCAATGTCAAACAGTTTTTTTTAATTATACCAGGTCAGTCCCAACACTTCTTTTTTTTTTTTATAAAAGATTGTTTCTGTGCACCGTTAACCCACTGTTAACGTTGTACACGCAGCAAGTGTTACCACAGTCTACTGAACAAGCATCTTTGTTCATCTTTCTTGTTCAGAACATTCAGAAAAAGCTGATTGTGTTCACGGTCCATTAAGTTTCACCTCTCACTTTGTTCTAAATATTTTACCCAGTTAAGTCAATTCCCTATAACAAAGCTGGCAAGATATTATTATTTGGTCAATAAAAGTTCCTCTGACGTCAACATTCTTTGGCATTGAAATTTATGTGAATTTTTACTTTATTTTTACTCCTTGATGTAGCAATAAAAACTAAATCTAATTGGGCGTGGAAAGAGCTGCACCTTGTTATACTGTACTTAACTCAAACACATGCTCTCACTCTGTGTATTTACACCCAACGTATGTTGCCGTACTGTGTGTCCTTGACCCTATCACAACCTCAGCCTTACTGAGTCAACAGGCTGTCACTCACGCCAGTACAGATAAACTGGCCTAACACATTCATACTGTCTGACTCACAGGACACTAGAGGTGCGTTATGTACCGTACGTCAGATCACAAACAAAATTGCATCATGCACAGAGATCAGTCGCCTCAGTAAAACCAGTTAGTTCTCAACATGGGACACTACGTAAGTGTTGGTTACAACACACAAATCAGGAATGTATAAAACACTTGAGCACTCATTTCCCCTGTTCTGCAGTCAAGGCAACTTCTATGTCCAGTGTTCAACGTGGGGAGACAGCCACCTGGCCCCTCCATTTATCTGACATCAAGGAGCTTCACCAGGAGGGTTAAACACATAAGATGTTCACACTATCCCTCTGATCTGAGATGAGGGAAACTCTGGGTTTTCAGTTCCAGAAAGAGGGTTAACATAAACTCTGGGGACTGCAGTAATCAAACTAATCATAATAATGATCAATCATTTATCATGTGATTAGTCGCAGTAAGGATGATTGAACGACTAAGATTCTAAAACTGGATTAAATGTATTTAAAAGTGTGTTTTTTACTATTAGCTGCAAATACTCTTAATATGTTTTGACAGTATTTCATTAAATGCGAAATATATGTTTTTAGATGTAAAATAGACGTCTATAAACGTACAGTCAGATTGAACCTACACACATTTTCAATGGCAAATCACCTAAATAATTATTACTAAGTATATGACTTTACAGTCGGGTCCATGAGTAAACTGTGTTTTATCTGTTTGATCCATATTTTCATTGTCAGTTTTCACCACCAGCATTTTGTCCCCGTCAGCTTACAGTTGAGTAAATATAATTTGGCTTTTTTTTTTTTTTTTTTTTTTTTTTAAAATGTAACATACAGATTCCAGCACTTTATCATTCATTAAAGAAATTCAATTCTGGTAAATGATGAATGAGCCGACTATACTGAATAAAATGTTATAGTTTTAACTTTTTGACTTTCTCCACTCCTGTTTAGATAAGTGTCTGGGTCCACATTGGCATGCATTATTATTTATATGTATATATTTCTAGCCCTACTGGGTTAAAATGGAGACTCTGCTGTTTATTTACCCGTCGCCATGGTGAATCGTAGTTTATTGAGATCCGTTGATGATTACTTTTTTTCCCATTCACCACGTACGCACATCCATTAGGTTCAAGTTACTCAGAGTTGATTGATTTGATTGAAAACTAATTCTAATTAGCTGTATACCAAAAAGTGAAATCAACTCAGGGCTCAGGGCTAGTTAGGGTCAGAGTTTGTTAAACCTGCTTTCCCAAAACAGGGCCCAGAAGAATCCAGTCATATATACACCACCTTCTTTGAGTTAACATTTTTCAAAATCATTCAAAGTGTTGTTGTGGGTGAGAGTTTGGCCCCGCTATCACCTGTCACATCTTTTACATTTACATGCGAGTCATGTTGCTGGTGCTCTTGAGACTTCCTGTAATCGGAGTCAGCAGAAGTGAAACGGGGGAAGGCGACAGTGTCCTTCTCAAGTACAAGGTCAAATGGTTGAAACAAGAGTCATATTTAACTTGACATTTTCTAGTTATATTGCACTCTACCACCCCACTGTAGTCTCTCCAGTGTTCCTGTACAAACACTTCAGAGAACTGAGAGTGTAATGATTAATCATTTACCCAAAAGAAACCCTCGTCAAGTACACAGTAGAGCCATATCGAGACCAACGGGGGCGTGGCCTGGCAGGATGTAATAGCAGCTATTTTTAGAATGACAGCAGGGTGAGGATGTTAATGTACGTCTGGAGAGGCCGTGATGTTGTGACGTCAATATCATTACATCAAAGGTATGTGGGTGTTATAGAACAAAGGAGTGGCTAGTTGTTGATAGTAACCATAGCAGTATGAGCTTCAAATGTACTATGTTGGTACCACACCTCTACTTGTGGTAAGCTTAGTTAGAGAGATTATGACTTTCGGATTTTCTTGGACAGACGGACATACATCCAAGAAAATCCAAAACAGTCATAATCTTGCAGCTGGTCTGTCTTGATTCTTGAAAAAGGCCATCTTTAATCTTCACTTAACTCACTTGCTTCAATAAAGCTGTCCTTGACCGTCACTTCAACCACAGAACCTTTGGATGAAAACCTGATCAGCATCATATCGAGTGACACGGGGAACTGAACCTGTATCTCTGGCTATGCTCTTGCCTTGCCTAACCCACTGAACCACTCAGGGAATTGAACCCGTCCTACCAACTGGCATACTCAAACAGTACAGCCTTTCTCTACCAGCATAAAAAACACAAAGACAGCTCTGTCCATTATAATATCATCAAACGGTTGAATAATGGAGGCTTCATAAAGAACATGGAGAGCAATGGTTCATCGGATAGTTGGTTTATACAACTGGTGATTAAGACTGGTAACCGGCCAAGAAGAGGCTACAGCCATGAACCAGTTTTGGCCGCATTAGGGAGTCTATAAAATACACAGATTGTGTTCATCAACTCAAAATTCACGCCTATTCACGATGCAGTGAATGTCAAGCTGAATTCAAGTACGTTCTCTATTTGAATCCACTCCAGTTACAGTGGGGATGCTTTTACAGATTGCTCAAAAGGTGTGCTTCATTCAGTCCAAAGAAATCCATCTTTATATTCTGTGAACTACCTAAAGAGAAAATATTTGATCACAGCTGCAAATCTCTCATTTGTCTCTTTCCCATACAAACCCTGCTCAGGGAATCTAAGTGTGTCTCCAAGAAGAGGGAGCTCGTCTGGTTTGTGAACCAGGACACATGTTGTCAATTTGTGTCTGTGGTCTGGCTGAAGGACGGCCTCAGGCCAGATGTTACGTCAATGCTCTCGTTGGCCGAGGAGGATGAGGAGAAGAAACATGCCGATTCGGCTTTTTGTTCTGCCATCTTTCCATCCTGCAGCCGTCCAGTCGGACCTCAGCCAACTGGAGGTGAAACAGTGGATGGCTGGGAAGGAAGCCCTGAACCACAGCAGCTCCCCGGAGTATCGGTCAAACCCAGTGAGGCCTTGTAAACCATTAGACTCATTTTCACCCAAGAGAGAGAGAGGCACAAAAAGAAATGGAAGCAAAGATCGTCTTGGCTCCACTTGGTTAAAATTTGACCAGAAACTTTCCAAATTGCAAATCTCTTTAACATGACACAATGAGAACGCAGAACTCATTACTTTGTGGTTTCCGCGAATGTGCAAGCCTTTTTATACTGAGAAGGGTTGCTGCAGGGAAAGTAAAGACTCCTGAGCGTCCAACACTGAGATGCAGAGAACAAAGGAATTGTAGAGAGAGTGAGAAAGTAAGATGAGTTAGGCTCTACGTTGGGTGTTGCCAGTAATAAAGGAAACAGTTTGTGATTGAGGTAGTCTCCCATCATGTCCTGTGGCAGTGCCCGAGCCTGGCTCCCACTGACCTTTTTATAGACACAGGAAGTGCAACACAGAACCTAAATCCAGACAGCGTTCAGAGGGGGATTCGGGGGGATTGAAAGACACAAAGGCCCTGTTCAGATGGCCATCTAAACAAGCTTGTCTATAAAAACACTCCAGGAGAGGACACTAGTGCAAATATGGAGGAATGAGACACAGACCACAGCGTGGCAGACAGGGAACTCAGTAAAAACACATTAGATAATCACTCATCCACGGCCAAGTCCCTTTCTCATAGCCTCAATCTAGAAAAACTCACAGCTCTTGAAAATGTTTCAGTTGCAGGTAAATGAAACGCAAAACTGGTTAGAGAGGTTTCTCTGCTCATCCTCATCATGGAAATACTAATTATTTTTAATGATCGTCATTATATAACAGCCCATCAGTTAATTAACATGATGAAGAAGCTTCAACTTCAAAACAACTACAGGCATGGGAAATAATCCTCTTATGTGAGGACCAATTCAGATAGTCGTACATTTACATTTCAATCATTTAGCTGATGCTGTTATCCAGAGTACCCCCTGTATGCAACTGTAAGTTACAGTCAATCAACAAAAAGGTCAACGCTTTAATGGTCCAATGTTCCCTTAAACACAGTGGTCACATGTAATAAAGAAATTAGAAAATAAATTCAAACTGAGCTATGAGGAAATATTTAACTAAGTTTTACCAGATAAAAAGTAAGGTCTGCCAAAATGATTCAAGGGACAGGAGGCTAGTCTGTTTACCAGGAGTCCCAACAAAGCTTTGAGGCATTCCTCATCTAGAACACTTCCTATTAGAAGATATACTTTATTTATTTATCTATTAAATGTCAATCACCATCACACCTCTGACAAGCAGCAGGAACTGGTTATCTTAATTAAGGGATGTTTGGTCAGTGCCCTTTCAGTTTGTCACTATCAGTAACAGCAGGAGATACATTAGAGTAACACACACACACACACACACACACACACACACACAGCTGATGCTGACAGTGCTGTGTTTTCTGCTGCTGTTGGTGACACACCAGGAGCTGCAGTGTTTGTTGTACTAAATTTAAGATTGAAACCAAGCTGTTTTTAAAAATTAAATGGTATTTTCTAAATGTATACTACTTAAAGTTTTCTCAATTTGGTGTTTAATATAAATTTTGATTTGTTTTATTGTATCTATAACAATCCAAATAAGCGTTTTTCTTGTCACCTCATGTATAACTAGCTGCTTGAAACAGTGAACACGGCTAGGCTTAACACCACAAGTAGCCTGGTTAATAAGCGAAGTAAAAATTACAATGTAGCCTAATTATATCTGGTAAAGAGGGGAGAAAGGCAACAAGTTGGAAATGTGTTCTTTGGGCTCTGTTAAAGTAATGTTGTTTGCTACATCAGCTATGAATTGAGACAGTAACTGAAACATTTCCATTTTAAAGCCATAAACATGTCAGAAACAGTAAGTTGAAGTCCTTATTTGCCTTTTTTCAACTGTACAAATGTGCGTTGGCCTCTTTTTTCTCAGTAGGATACATTACGAGGTGGCCAGTACAGTAGACGATAGGCTACAGTGTTTCTGTTAGCGTTACCGAAGTGAAGTTACGAGAAACAAAACTCACCTTTGTAAAATAATTGCTGTCTCCTCCGCTGTCTTTGACGCCGTTTGGTAAAAGCGTGTCCGTCATGGTGAAGGCTCAGACTCGGACAATCTCAGATCGGAAACCGAGTTGATTAAAACTGTATTGAAATCAGACCGCTGCTCGTCAACAGGTGAGTATCCTCTTTCGTCCAACAATAAGGCTACTCTGACTTCCCTCAGCCCAGCCACAGACTTTTCCAGCAGAAACGAGAAACTCCGCCCTCAAGGAAAAAAAGGAGAGAGAAAAAAACTGGGTGGTGCAGTTCCCAAACAAAACTCACCGGGCTGACCGCACCTGTTCAGGTTATGTAACTTAAGTTGCAATAACCTGAGTAAGACGGTAAGATATGACTTACAAGACACCTCCTGGAAAACACTGTTACAATTATATACATTTCACCTCAATTTAAGTCTGACCATCTGCTGCGCCGACTGGTCCTTATAAAGTAGGCTGTAGCTTTGGCTAAATAACTGTTATGCTAAAATGGCTCGGTTAAAGGCCTACTGGTTTTTTGTTTTTTGAAGTACATTTTGTAATAACTATTGTCATAAATGTGTATATTAATTCGAAGTAAATTCAGTTACTGAAAAATAAATGCGGGAAAGAATCTAGTCCATACTGCAAAATTCATAATAGTAGGCTAATTAGGGTGTTTATTAAAAGATAAAAATGGACATTTAGGTGTTAATCATTTTATTGGTGTGTAATATCACTATCAATATAAAATAAGCATTAAAACTGGCAAGGACATCAGCCGGAGTAGTTTCACACAGCACTCATTTATGGCATTTTTACATATTTCTTTCTTTGAGCAAATGGCAGACATGCCAGATAAACACTTGAAAGCAAAATGGCTTCTTTAAAACCACAAGGACAGTCCTGGTTTGTATACTAAATGTCTTTAAATGTAGGAAACGTCAGTTTGACTTAAAATTAAACAGTTGGTTGAGTTGGAGTGAACAAACCATATAGTGCTCATCATGTCAATGATCACTTGAATTATCACAACTATTAGCCTAATGCAGTAATAGTGTCCGGGAGGAAATAAGTTTTATTATCCGAGACTGGCTTTACAGTATTTGATTTGCAGAAGAGAATTTAAACATGTAATTTAATACAATCTCATGTCATAACTAGAATATATTACTTTGAGTGGTATGAGGCAGATATAATTGGAAATAGTTCTATAGGAAAAATACAGTCCCCTCCAAAAGTATTGGAGCAGTAAGGCAAATTCCTTTGTTTTTGTTGTTCACTGAAGACATTTGGATTTAAGATCAAAAGATGAGTATGAGACGAGTTCAGAATTTTAGCTTTTATTTCCTGGTATTCACATCTAGATGTGTTAAACAACTTAGGACATATCACAGTTTGTATTAGACCACAGCATTGAGCAAAAGTAATGGAACAAATAATCTTCAAGTAAATAACATTTCATATTTGGTAGCATAACCCTTGCTTGCAATAACTGCCTCAAGCCTGTGACCCATCGACATCACCAAACAGTTGCATTCTTCATTTGTGATGTTATTCCAGGCTTTTACCGCAGCTTCTTTTAGTTCTTGTTTGTTTCAGGGTGTTTCTCCCTTCAGTCTCCTCTTAAGGAGGTGAAATGCAGCTCTGTTGGGTTAAGGTCAGATGATTGACTTGGCCATTCTCTAAAACCTTCCACTTTTTTCCCCTGATGAAGTCCTTTGTTTTGTTGCCAGTGTGCTTTGGCTCATTGTCCTGCTGCATGATAAACTTCCTCCCCATTAGTTTTAATGTATTTCTCTGTAAATTGGCAGACAAAATGTTTCTGTACAGTTCTGAATTCATTCTGCTGCTACCATCATCAGTTACATCATCAATAAATATTAATGAACCTGTTCCAGAAGCAGCCATGCACGCCCAAGCCATGACATCACCTCCACCAGGCTTCACAGATGAGCTTCTATGCTTCAGATCATAAGCAGTTCCTTTCTTTCTCCATCACTTTGCTAGAGATTAATCTTGGTCTCATCAGTCCATAACATTGTGTTACAGAACTTTTGTGGCTCATCTCTGTACTTCTTCGCAAATTTCACACTGGCCTTGCGATTCTTCCTGCTGATAAGTGGTTTGCATCTTGTGGTGTGGCCTCTATATTTCTGCTCTCTGAGTCTTCTTCCAACAGTGGATTGTGATACCTTCACCCCTGCACTGTGGAGGTCGTTGCTGATGTCACTCACTGATGTTTTGGGGCTTTTCTTCACAGCTCTCACCATATTTCTGTCATCAACTACTGTTGTTTTCCTTGGCCGACCTGTTGGACGTCTGTTGCTCAGTAAACCAGTAGTTTTCTTTTTCAGGACATTCCAAATTGTTGTGCTTGCGATGCCCAATGTTTGTCCAATGGCTCTGGTTGATTTTCCTTATTTTCTCAGCTTGACAGTGGCTTGCTTTTCAGCTCTCTGGTCTTCATGTTGGTTTATTCTCTTTAACAGGAAATGCAGTCTTTATAGGTTTGAACCAAGGATGAAAACTTAGACTAGTCATGCAGAGCTATTTAATGTTTGGACAATCAACCTAAAAGGCAACACCTTGGTAACAAGAAACATCAGTCACATGTTCCAATAGTTTTGCTCAGTTGAAAAATGGGTGGGTTCAAACAAAGGGTGGTATGTCCTGAGTTGTTTAACACATCTAGATGTGAATACCAGGAAATGAGAGCTGAAATTCTGAACTCTTGTCTCATACTCATCTTTTGATCTTAAATCCAAATGTCTTCAGTGAACAACAAAAACAAAGGAATTTGCCTTACTGTTCCAATACTTTTGGAGGGGACTGTACATCTTAAATCCACAATGAGACATTTTTACTATGATAATATTTAAACAGGACTGTTGAGTGTTCAGCTAAAGTATTTCCTTTGAAGACACACAGATTAACAGGCTAACTTACATTTTTGTCAGTGTCTTGTTGAAAAGTACCGCAACAGTATATTTTGTTGTAGTGTATTGTGCTGTAATGTGTTTAGCTTATCAGATAATTTGAGATGAAACATGAGGAGCCATCTGCTTGTGTGTGGCTGGTTTTGCCAGTTTGCAGGTTAACTTTCTGTTTGTTGAAGGGGTGGTCATTAGCGTCAGTAGAGGATTATTGATAACAACTACACAGAGGTTAAGCCAGGGAACGAGGGTGTTGCTGTTGCTGTAAACTAGGTCAAAGCTGTCTTTGTCTGGGACATTTCTCTGTGTGAAAGCCAGAAAAAGGCTTATAGAACAGAAGCATTTTATCTCTATCCTCCTTTAACATCTGTGTGGCTGAAAACATGAAACATAAGGAGGGTGTAATTGCTAATTATGCTGTGAAGTAATTGTGAGACAAATACTCACAAGAAAAATCACTGACAACAAATGAACTATCAACATTTGGTAATTGCTAAACAATTTTTGAAAACTTGTTCCTGCTGCTGAAATGACTATTTGTTGTGCTCTTCAAGCCAGTGTGAAGATTACCATTGTTGTACTAAACAATATTGACCACTAGGTGGGGATAGAGGTTAATATTTAAGCATTAACATTCCCCATTGATTCTTCTTTCCTTGTGAATCAATGGATGAGCCTCTTTCCTCATTTTGTTTCAAAATAGTGCACAGAATTTTTTAACCTCTTAGCTTTGAGTAATGGATTAACTTAATACATATTTACAGTAGCTAGCAACCTCCTCTCTGAAAATGTGACTGTATGTTTGTATCATTTATAGGCCATCAGCATGACTCTGCCAGAGACAAACTTTTCACCACAGACATTTTGGCCTGTCATTGCAGGAAAACACACGTGTAACTGATAACTTTATGCTGATGACTCAATTCCATTAGTTGTGCCTGTAAGTCATTCAATTAAGCCAACATGAATAATACCGGGGTTCACGGTAGTTTCCCACGGGTTTCACCAATGGTAGCAGTCTCCTCTCTTCCTGGTTTCTGGACATGTGTGACAAGAACGTCTCATATTTACCAACAAATACCACTGCTTAAGACTGTGCAAGGCAATTCCCTGATCTTCTGCACGAAAGCAGGGGCAAACTGTTTTGCACTGTGTGCAATGTTGTGGTGGAACACAAATGAAAGTCATCGTTTGTCAAGCAATTTCCTACCACAAAACATACCTGGAGAATGGCTGAAACACGTGGACGACAGACAAGACAAATCCCCATGACAGACGCTGTTGCATCCAGATCAAATGCAAGTGCTTTAAACAATCAAGGGGAGTTAGACTGAATATGCATAGTTACCCTGTACACAGGATAAGCGGTTGGCGCTCGATGGATGGATGGATGGATGGATGGATGGATGGATGAAATTTTTTCACTTACTCCAACAATTTCATTGCAAAAAAATGCATCAACATGTTTTAGGAAAGCTGAGTGGTCTGTATAGTGAGTGCAGGCTATATGACCTTTATTTTCAACTATTCCGCTGATGAACGGGTTACAAAATAGTATATATATTTTTTTTAAATACTCCACAAGGTACCATAAGTGTCCCATTAAGCTATGCCACTGAGTCAGCCTGCACAACACCAGGGCCCTGGAACATGCACACCTAAATGGAGTGAAGCCTTATTATTTAGCTCTTATTAAATATACCTGTGCTTTTCCTGCTATGACATGTGAAAAAGACCTACAGAGGCTGAGTTTAGTGTTTTGTTGCTCTTACTTTGTGAAAGATTAAATAAATTGTTGAATATGGTGATTCATTTTAAAATAAATTCCACACTATCTTGTTAAAAAAAACATTGTTGCACTGACCTGATATGCTCTCCATGGAACCAGGGACGATAAAAAAGATAAAGTTCCCACTGACATTGCATGTGTCAAGAGAGCATGTTAAACGTCTGAAGTTACGTTAAACTGCTTATGCAGGTAAACCCAGCACACCCTGGCAGTTGTGGCTACAAAACCACTTTAAATGTTTCAACCATAACCACAGAACTCTGCAGGGGGCTGAGACGCATTTTCCTTTTCCAGCATATTTTCCAGTGTTGTGCTTCTGAAAATAGGCAGTCCACACTGTTCACCAACACTGTACGTGTTGTAAACGCTTTAGGGGGGTTTTACCCTGGAAAAAAACAAAATCCTGTATGAGTGGTTGATAGAATATTTAAATATTTTTGCAAGCAATCACAATTAAAGGTACTGAATACTGATA